CAGATCTAGAAAAAGTACTTGATGAAGCCGTTAAAATGGTAAATTTTCTGAATGCCCGGCTTTTGTCTCAGCTTTGTGAAGAGATGGACAGTGATCACACTCAACTCCTTTTTCACACTGAACTGTGGTGGCTTTCGTGTGAAAAAGTCCTCAATCACCTGTTTGAGCTTCGGGAAATACTTCAATTTTTTGGGGGGGATAAAACTTTTAACCTGCAGGACCATTTACATGACAGGAAATGCAGACTGGAAATGCGTCTTTGGTCATTTAAAAAAACCTCAATCTGTCCTTGTAAGGGGAACACATTTCTATATTCCATTTTCAAGACAAAGGGAACGCCATGATCACAAAATTACAACTGTGGTATAAATGTCTAAGTAGTGGTGAATTAGATTCCTTTCCATCTCTTCATGAATTAGTAATAAATTTGGCTAACTAAATTGATAGCGATATGCTGCAAACTATGAAGCTAAATTTGGAAAGTTTGCAGAAAGATCTTTCTAAGTATTTCCCTGAATCGGACAACATCTTTGAATGGATAAGGAACCCTTTCATTATCAGTGTTCAAACATTTCCAAACAAAATAAATAAAATCTCACATTCAGAAGAAGAACACCTCTTGGAACTGGCTTCAGATAGCTTCCCGAAAACAAAATTTGAGCAAAATACACTGACATCATTTTGGTTGGATGTTAGTTCTGTACAGTACAGTATATCCAGCGTTGTCAGATAATGCTGTTATGTATCTTCTGCCCTTTCCAACTTCATATTTGTGAGAAGTTGGATTTTCTGCGCAAGTTGGCATGAAGACAAAAAAATGAAACCGTCTTATTGACGTGGAGCCCCATCTATGTCTAAAAATGACAAATATAGTCCCAGACATCTCCTCACTAATTTCATCTCAGCACAAGAAGTTCCATCTCTCACATTAAACAGTTTGTTTTGCTATTGAAAATTTCAATATCATTATTTTATTTTAGGTTTTTTATTTAATTATTTATAATATATTTAGTATTAAGAAATAAATACCATGTTTGCTCTAGATAAAAATAGTATAGATAAAATATTATTATTATCACTACCCCCAAATTACCTTTGCCTGAAAAGGGTATGCTGGTAAGACTAAAATCTCAAAAGGGGTATGCGATTATTGAAAGTTTGGCAAACACTGCTTTAGAGGAAGTCAAGAAACAACAACAGTAGTCCAACCTGGAGAATGAGATTTGCTTTAGGGGACAACCTGAAGAAACAATCTTTTCTCCTCCATAAAAATGCCTAAAAGAAGAGGTGGTTTTAAAAGTATCAAAGAGAATAATCAAGGCACATATCAAGTGAACTGTGAGCAGAACACAAAGACATAACTAGACCCAGAAACATAAGGGAATATTCATAAGCTATTTTCACAAGGATATAACAAAACATTTTTGAACAGAATTATTATTGCATTGGAAATTCTTTAGAATTGTTATGGAGAAAGAGATCATTGGATCCTTCAAAACAAAGACTGCTGTGATAGTATCACTTAGTGGGTTTTGAAATCGATAAACTCTTAGGAGTTGAGTGGTCTGTTATAGTAATTAACATTTTTGTGTTCTATTTTCGTTTAGTGATGACATACAGTATCCTAATGTTATATCCTGTATCACAATGTGGTCGTCCTCGACATCCTGGCAAAGACGTTTCAACACAACTTGCATTGAGTGATATACTGTAGCTGAGAGTTCAATTTTTAAATAAAACTGAGCATAGTTGTATGGTTAAGGAGCAGAATAGTAAATTATAATATTTTAATTATATATTTGGACAAAAAAAAACAAAACAAACAATACAATTAAGAATGTTTTTGTATATGTTCTACAAGAACGGTAAAATACTTAAATGGCAGAATTGGATATAAAGAAATACAATTCCCATCATGCATTTGCCAGTGTTACACGAAATGAGTCATCCGGGAAGGGGGATGGTTTTAAATGTAACTGACTTGCTTGCATACAGTTCCATATGTTAAAGCTTTAATATTTTTTGTTTATTTTAAATAAAACCCCAAACTAATTTGACTTACGTTAAGGATGCGCCGTCTAGGCTCGGTCCAACAAAAGATACCGTGCGTTTTTCTGACTGAAGTGAAAAATGAACCTTCAAGAAAACGCGAATGTCAGGTGTGGTTTGTATGCGCCCATAGTCTTATTTTTAATCTAACTTTGTATTTGGAAGACAGAACATCACTCCTGCTGTATAAACTTACGTTTTTAATTTATTTATTACTGATTTTTAGCATTGACATACTATATTGGCTTCGTATTACTACTTTAGCGATATAATGTGTATTTTTCACTGTGAACAATTGCAGTTTGAAATGAACAGTAGCCAGTACATGCAGATTAAAGTCGGTAATTTAATGTTAATTATTAACATTTATGCACGACGTTTTTGCAGAGCTACAATAATAGCTACAACACCAACTTTGTAAAGGCCAATTAAACAATCTCGAATCTTGTTCTTTGATTCGAGCCTTTAGAGTTTTTGGAGACCTCTCATCCTCATATTTTTGTGATTTCTTTGCATAGCAATTTCAGGTTTTTGCAACAGAACACCTTAATCCGAAGGCATTGGCATCAGATGTAGCAAATGCGATTGCGACTGAAAAGCTTGATGGCACGTGCTGCTATGTTTCCAGTTACAAAGGTAAAGGCATCTGTGATTAAATTGAAAGCACTTTAGTGCATGCCGATGTCGTTGTGAATACCTTTTTTTTTTAAAAAAAAAGGTTAATACTAGAACTAAATGATAAAATTAGGTCAACATAACGTATACATGTTACAAGAAATACTCCAGTATAGACTAATGAATGTTTTAAGTGATTCATTCCTTTTTAATTTTACTTTTGTCAGTCGTATAGTTCGCATTATTTAAATCATTTAGCCTTTAACTTTAGACCTTTACCTTTTTAAAACTTTAGACACTTTTACTGGCATTTGGTTTTTCTACAGAATTGTAAGAAATGTATTGCTCGACTCACTAAACAGTGATGTGGTAATAAAAACAAATCATACATCAAAATACACTTGAAACATGAGGGTGTCTCGGTAGTCAGGTACTCAGTCTGCTATGCAATGTGCCTATCTATAATAATAGTAATACCTTTGCATTATTAAAGATACTGCCATTCTGGCTGTTTTGCAAGTGTAGTCAAACATCTCGTACTCTGAACCATTTTTTCTGATTTGCTAGAAATAGCTTGTGTTGCTCTCTCAGGCTACAGACTGCTTGCATTTACCTCTGCTTGCATTATCATGGGAGTGCTTGTTGCCTTACATAAGTGGACTTTGCTTTTATGTTGATTATAATTTGATTCAAACTTTTTAAATCAAGTGTAGTCATTTGTTAATACAGTAAAAGGACAATTTTGGTCATGCTTTATGATCTAAACTAATGTTATCCTTAAATTCATCAATCCATCAATTTCTTTAATCATTCCTTCTTTAAAGTTGGATATACATGTTTAAAAACATTCCCATGATGCATTTAATTTCACATGTGCCTAATTGGTTTGATTCCAAAAATCTGATAATTGAAGCAATATGCTTGGATGTGGGACATTTCGGAACTTTCCGTGTTGTTCCTCATATACTAATAATTTCTAACCCTGTCCTGCTTTTTGAGATCTGAAAACTTTTAAAAATATTTTATAGGACTCAGTTGACCTAAGAAAAAGTTTAGGTTGACAGAAAGCTAGATGTGGCAGGACATAACAAAGATGATTAAGGACCCTTCCCCTAACTGAAGTGGTTTCAGTTGATTTCATAATATACTACTGACATTTATGAAAGTGAATAATAAGTTTTTTATTCCTGTAGGAAAACCATATCTCTGGGCTCGATTTGATAGGAAGCCCAACAAGCAAGCTGACAAGAGGTTTAAAAAGTTCCAGTATTCTCAGAAGAATTCCACAGGTATTCATTAATGTATTCTTGTTTTACAGCAATATTGTAAGACATTGAGATCATTAAAACCCTTTAAGGTATATGTTTGATCTTAGCTTTGCAGTTAAACAATAGTTTTTTTTTCACAGGATCTCACTCAATAGTTGAAATAATACTAAAACTAAAGAATCACAATTTACCAGTAACTATAAAAGAAAACTTCTCCTAGTCTTCTCAGCCCTAGTGTCTTTTGAGTGTTTTAGCTCAGTTCTTAGTTGCTTAATGGAGCTCGCCAATGAGATAAATGTCTGTGATCGCATGGACCAGGTCTGCGGAACCCATTTGTGCATTCTGTAAGCAGGGTGTTATGTAACATTTTCTACAGAGTGCTCTGTTATCCCAGAAAACACCATAACATTAGCTTATGGAGTGTTAATTGGCTTTTTGGAATGTCCATGGAAAGAGGAAAGTGAAAAAAAATGGTTTGCATCTTTGCGATCAAATATAAATAACATTTTTCATTTTATTTTATTTTAACTTGGTCCATGACAGTATTTTAAATTCTAGATCCTGTTTTTCTACAGAGTCTTTCATAAACTGGTTGTATTTTTCTTTTTTACTATTGGCTTGAAAGCCTTTTGCCATAAAAGTATGAGGTAAGAAATAATTTGTAACTTGTGCTGCCATAGTGAGCATTTATTAGCAAGTTATTTATCTAAACATAATGTCATTCTTTCTGTCAGTTACAGTTATTTCTAGCTGACTGTGGTAAATATGATACCAAATTGGATTAGAAGTCAATCTGTGTTGAGAAATAGTGGAAGTACTTCAGTCATGAACTCTGTAACTTAATAAAAGTGAAGTACAGCAAATTTAAAGCATTCTGAACACCACGGTATTGTTGTTACTAATAAATGTAAGCAGCAATCCCAGTGATGTTTCCAGTATTTAACATTGCATTCTTCTCATTAAGAATTTACATGGAGTGTTGAGGAAGACTTTAAGGCTGTTCCAGATTCTTGGATTGCTGCCCACGGAGTTCAGCGTTGCAATGGGCAGCCTCAACCTGATGAATGCGGCCACATTCCAGGTAGTCTGTTTCAGGGTTCTTCTGTGGAATTGGAAATGCTGCTTGGCAGATGCTACTTGGTTACTGCTTGGCAGATTTGTAAACCCACTGCCAAATTCAAGGCTTTTCAATGCTGATAGTAATTGCAGTTATGTACACTTGTAAGGAAAAATAGAAATGGACATAGATTTTCTATTTGGGTCAAGAGATTTATCCTGTATGGAAATTCCTGAATTATCTGGTGTGTTCCATTATTTTGAAGTGAAAAGCTTTAAAAAATATTAAAACAAGCATAGAAATAGGAGATCACAGACTTAATGAAAGGAAAGAAAATCCTTAACAAGTAAACTTATTGATAATGCACTTGAACTGTGACTTGATTTATTGCTCCTATCAGATACTTATTTTTCCAGTGTTACTGTCAGTATCTGTGGTCTCAGATTTGTATTCACCTTTTTTAATACAAAGGTTATTTTTTTAAATACCACTACTACTACTAATAATAATAATATTTCTTTATACATGTAATTTTATGTCATTTTGATCACAAAATTCAAATGATATTAATTAATTGATACAGTTTTTAATTGATTCAGTTAAGCTATTATTTTCCTTCCTGTATTTTACAATGCTAAGAACAACCTGTCCTTTTCATCCTTGAGGAATTTCTTTCGCAAGCAGTTACAATTGGAGAAGATATCTAACATGAGTATGAACAGGCATTTATGCTGGTAATTATGTAGTTAAGTAGATACAGTATATATAAATATTAAAATTACAGATGTAGTGGAAAATCAAAAAACAGGTCTCTAGCATCTTAAACAGACATACTTAAAAGACAATTATACAAATGTTTTATGTTTTCAAACATAGCAAAAAACATAATCAGAAGAGCTAGCAGACCGGACATAGTTCCTGCAGTTAGACCAAATAGACTAGATTGTCATGGAAGTTACAGACTCCATTAGGAGACCCTCCTAAGCTACTGGCTAAATCCTTGTGGGGTTAACCACTCCAACCCTATTACAATGACAAAGCTGAGTGGAAACAATAGTCGAGAAATGAGGAGAACAGATTTGAATGGACAAGTAAAGTAACAATTAATGAATGAGCGTAATAGGAACAGAGATGACTTGAAGTCCCTCACTGTAATGTTGTGTGTTTAGTATTCTCTTTGTTCAAAAAGATGTGTTGACGTGTACATATTAACAAAGAGGTTTTGGATATTGAAAATGTAGTGTAGAAGCAAAATAAAAAGATCATTAAAAATTGCTGTACTGCAAGCAATTCATTTACAGTTATATATAAACAACAGCTAAACAATCCCAGATTTAAAAAGGAAAAAACACTTTTTTTTCCTCATGCTTATTCATTTTATGGTGCGTCATCATTTTTTTTGTTTAGTGTGATTTGATGATTTTATCACTGATTTGTTCATATGAAAGCTGTAAAGAATGTTAGGAAGATGCAGCATTTTTTTCTTTTTTTCTGAAGGATGGGTTCCAGTAGAAAAAAATAACAAGCAGTATTGCTGGCATTCATCAGTGGTGAATTATGAAGCTGGAGTAGCCCTTGTTCTAAGACCTTGGGGTGAAGAAGAACTAGAAATCACCATTGTTCCCCTGTCTGAACTCCTTGAACAAACACTAGAGCTTATAGGAACTAATATCAATGGAAATCCTTATGGTGAGTATTTTTTAATGAAAATGTAGTTTGTATTTCTATATCATAAACAGCAGATATTCACATGCAGTCACTGATTACCAATATTATGGGTGAAATGAGTGCGGTAATGGTGCCACTTTCTGCACCTTTTGGGAGGACAAGCTCACTAAAGCTGAGAAGTGGCTGTACTGGAGTGCTTGTACATGGAACAATAGACAGTGGTTCACTTGTTCATGCAGTGTTCCGTTACATGAGTGTAAACCAGGTCATCAGCTATAATAATAGTCTATTTCAGGTGGGTGATCATTGGCATAGACTGGCTGATACTCCTCTTTACCTTAAGTGTCAGGCAAAAAGTTGCCATGCTTTTGTAGACCATCAGCTATGACAACTAGAGAACAGCGAAACCCACTTCTGTTTTGCCAGAAATGACTGTAATCTTGCAGAGCAGAATTGTTAATCTTATTTATACAAAAGTGTGCTGTGGTCTTGTACAGGGAGAGGTCTAAAAAATGTGGAATATCCAGGGTTTCCTCGGTTGTATATAGACCAGGCAGGGTGCCTGGGCGAAATGTTTCGCTGCCAGGCAAAACGAATGCGTGAATGGCAACAATGTACAAAAGAATCCCAAGTTGAAATACTTTTTCATAGTATTACACCGCAAGATCATTTGCCAGCCGGCGGCTTTGATGGTACATAATCAAATAGCTCTGAAGTGTCACAGCTTGGTCTGAAAAACGAATGCATTTGCAGCAAGTTTTAAGTTGAATAAAAATGATGAAATGATGAACATGAACTTTTGAAGAGTTATTATAGAGAGAGATTCCTTTAATTAACCAGAATGTTTTTTGTTTGTGAATAAAAGAAATAGTCCCAATAAAAGTAATAATATCAAGGGTATGCAATTACAGTTTTCAATGAAAAATCTGACTATATCAGGGTTTTGGACCTATGTGGTGAAGATGTAGAAAAACACAGGGTTTCCTCTAAGCTGAATCATTGAGTCACAGACAAATAGTGTCCGTTTGTTGCTTGCCACTTAATTTTCAAGTGGGGAAAAAAGTTATTGCCTGAATGAGTGCAAAATAATAAACAGTGCCGCAACAGCGAAAAAAAGAACACAATGGCTTGACACATACAGAAAATAGCAAATAGCATATTTCAAGTACAAAGCTCTTCCTCATACAGCATCATAGGTAGACTACATCTTTAATGAATGCTATGTTGAAACTAGTTGTTGCACTCAGATAATGTCTAGTATGGGATAATATTATTTACAATAATAAGATAGTTTGCAATCTAGTACAGTAATCTAGCTGTTGGATAGCTATGGAGTGGGCGTGGAGCTGGGAAATGTAGGTTATATATGCTTTTTCCTGTGGGGAACCCTTGATAACTATTGCGAAGAGTGGTGAAAAATTGACTTTTACTTTCCTACAGTAAATAATTGTAAACAATGTATTACTGAATAGTTATTTTTTTTCTCCGAAGTGTCTGTCAGGATTATGTTGGCATGAGCATATGCAATAATGTTGCTTTCTTTCTTTGTAAAAGGAGCCTTATTTAATCTACTGTTTCATGGAAAATTCAAACTTCAAAAGCAGCACTGCCTCATATGCCTATGCATGCATAGTCTTCAAGTATCATCAGATTCTAGTTTAGGTTTTATGGAAATTTGAAAATATTAAGTCTCTGTTTCACAGAATATATTACTGAATTGTTTGAAGTATCTCGTTGTCCATTTCAGTTTCATCCTTCCTTATTGTCATCTTGTATCCTCTTTTTAGGACTTGGAAGTAAAAAGAAACCATTTCACCTTTTAGTACCACACGGAGTCCTAAAAATCAGAAATGCTCCTGCAGTCAATTACCAGCAGCTAGTTGGGTGGTTTCAGAGATGTGGTGAAGCAAATGTAGAAGGCATTGTATGGCACTGCAATGATGGCACTCTAGTGAAGGTAAATATTGCACATTTCAGCAAAGTACTTATCAATGATGAATTGATTGATTTTTGGATAAAATGTGTTTCTTTTTTTTTAGCTTCATCGTCATCATTTAGGTTTGAAATGGCCGGATGTGGATACTTACTTAAACTCTAGACCAGTTGTTGTCCATGTTGATGTGACAAGGTATGAATGGGAATTTCCAGTGATGGATTTGTTCACAGCTTTGTCACAATTTAATGGACAGAAGTTTGAGCACATACGGGACATTCAGTTTGACGTATAAGAAAATGCCAGCAACATGGAATTGGATGATCTGTAAGTGTATAAATATCATAGAAGACATTTGCATTTTACAGAGCAATAAAACAATTTTGGACAATCAACTTCATAAGAGAAACTAGCCATTGAAGATGAGATGTATTGCAAATATATGGTGTAAACAATTATTTAAACAGTAGAGGTATTGCTGAAACAGAGTATCTTAAAAACAATTTAAAGTATTTTCCTGTGAAGTGTGCTCTATGTATTGTACAAAAATTGCATTGCATGGTACAGTATGACCACAGTACCACTTAATTATAATTATGCATCAATAAACATTGGATGTCAGAAATGAAATCGAACCAAAAACTGTCTTTGATACTTTTAAAAATGTTGTACTAGGAACTTAAATTTTAGAATTAAGATGCTTTGATGTTCCCATGTTCTCACAAGAAACTACTGAACAAGCTAGACGGCATTCATTATCAGCGTCCAGAGTTGACGATTCAGTCCCTTCAAGATTCATATGGCTTACATTTTATTAACTTAAATCAATTTCAATTCTTTATTCAAAGTCATCTTAGAACACAAATGTGTCCTCTTCAGAAATCTGATTTTTTGATCCAGAAACTTGATCTATGTAGTGTACTAAATCAGACTTACAAAATGATAAAAAACATTAAAAGGACATTTAAAATAAGTGTATTTCTTAAAACCTGTGGTATATCACAAGTTTAAATAAAATGTTTTTTTTATTTATTAGATAACATTCACATCACAGCTGAAAAATACATTTTTCATTATATTACATTACAATCATAAAGTATCAGTATGTATCAGTTTAAATGTAAAATTCAGATTATGTACATTTTATGAAGTGGGTTTGTAATTTTAAAAATATACATTTCATTTAATGTTAAGATAGCCTCCAAAATTGTTTAATGTCATTGTACCGATAAACAATGTATAATAAATCTTGAGTCCTCTTTTTTCATATTTATTAAATTAAAACATGTTAAGACACCAAACCTTTCTGCCTTCTAGTCAACAGACACATTGGTTGGAATATCAACCTCAACACCAAACTGTTGTGATAGTTTCTTCAGCTGTTCCTCCAGGAGAATATTTCTTTTTACTTCTACATTATAGTTGAACTTCAGATCCTCAATCTCTTCAAAGAATGTAGGGTCAAAGTTTTCCAGTTCTTTTTTCATTTTCTTTACTTCTTCCTGAGGTTCAGAAATGGAAAGTTTTAGCAAGAACAATATTATTGAAAAACCTAAATTTAAATGTAGTTATATAAAAGTATTATTTTCAGTTGATTTATGACAAGGCCAAAGTTGGATAAACTATATGTATGTTTTTTTTTTCTATTTTTTCATTTAATTTGTAACATGTCATGTAAGTACTTAGCTAATGTTACATGTATAATATACACACTATATATTTTGTATTGTAGGAATATACAATACTATGTAAACTAAAGAATTTAAAACAGGCTATTATCATTATTGTACTATTACAAAATAAGCAAAGGTGGCTTAACCTTGGGAATGCTTGAATTTAGATCTACAAAGAACAGCTTTGAGGGTTACTGAAAATTGTCAAAGAATCAGATAAAGCATTCCTCGATAACCCTCTGAGGTTAGCTGCAACTACATCATATATAGCTACATTTGTACAAAACTCTTTCCCTGCACACAGTATGTATACAAAACTATTGGCTTGCAAGGAGCTAAATAGCATTAAAAAGCATATTATTATCTGTTTACCTGCATATGTCTTTTATCTAGATCTGCCGCCTTAAGATGGGTTTGCAGCTCAACCAACTCTTCCATCAGCTTATCATGTTTCATGGCTTTCTCTAGGAGTTCATCAAATACTAAATATAAAATTCAAGTTGAAAGAAGCACATTAAACTTCAGAGTCAGTTGAATGAGAGCATTTGATACAGTGGAGAGAAAGCATTTTTTCTTTATTGCCTTGAATATAAGCAATTTACATTTTATGTCTGCTCATCATATCTTCAAAGACTTAAGTCCAGATGTTTCCAAATGTGATAATACATCATAGTGTATTTTTGTGGATCCTCATGTAGTAACCCGCTGTGAATACTAGTCTTAATCTTTGATTTGTTGTTTTTCTTCTCAAAATACTATCAAGCTACTAGATACTAAATGCAAGACCTTGGTTTTCACCGAGATTAAGATACACTGCAGTTCTCAGTTACAACTTAAACAAGCTTAAAAAATGTCAATTGGCCTCCCACAATCACACTTTTTCATTATTTACAGATCAGACACTTTGTTCTGCAAAATGTACCTGTTTGAAAATCTGCCAATCTGTTCAATGATCTTGTGCAACAGCCAACCAGTTTTAGACATTTAATATCAGTTTATTTTATTTTTTTCTAGGCATATGGAGGTGTCTGTTAATCACCTGAAAGATTCTTGATGTAAGGAACTTAATATTTAAATTTCTAAGGAGGTTTTGGAAAAGAGTATAAGCAACATTCAAAGGTACTCTATTAATGTTAGATAGTACAATGCAAGGTCATCCTCTACAACGACTCTATTACTTTAAAGCTAAATTGATCAAGATACAGTCACGTGAAAAAGAAAGTACACCCTCTTTCAATTCAATGGTTTTACATATCAGGGTATAAATAACAATCGTCTGGTCCTCACCAACTTCTATTATTAGACAATTCTAGCCTCAGATAACAGAAAACACGTAACGGATTTCACTATGTCATTATTTATTCAACAAAAACTAAGCCAAAATGCAGAAACCATGTGGGAAAAATTAAGTACATCCTTACTGCTTCCATAGGAATTAAGAAAGTAATAAGCAGCCAGGTGCAGCTAATCAAATGCATTTGATTCGTTGATCATCAGGAAGTGTGGCCACCTCTATAAAAGCAGAACTTTTGGCAGTTTGGTGATCTGGAGCATTCAGGTGTGTGTTAACACCATGCCAAGGAGGAAAGACATTAGCAATGACCTCAGAGAAGCAATAGTTGCTGCTCATCAATCTGGGAAGGGTTATAAGGCCATTTCCAAACAATTTGAAATCTATCATTCTACAGTGAGAAGGATTATTTACAAATGGAGAACATACAAGACAGTTGCCGATCTTCCCAAGAGTGGGCGTCCCAGGAAATTCACCCCAAATAACATTTATGTTAAGTTTACCGTTAATTCTTAATGTATGTAAGCATTTATATTATTAATGCACGCAACCCTTTTTTCCACAGGTTTAAAGTACTGCTTTAATGCGATTCCCCTTTAAACGAGGTTTTTGCAGAACGTAACCCTTGCATAAAATAGGGGACACCTGTATTTAGTGATTTTAGATATTGTGTGTTGTTTCTTGGTTATTGTAGTCTTAAAATTTTCAAAATTTTGTTAAATGAAATATTTAATTTCAAATGAACTATTGGATGTTACAGTATATATACATAACAAGCTTTGTAGGAGTGTTGACTTATTGTAATATAGATTCCTTATGGTTATACATCTGTAGTTAGTAGCAATTCAGCAATAAAAGCTCTGGTTGGGAAAACAAAGCCTATTGTGAAATATGTATATTTCTATTAGGGTTTTTTATGGGATTGTACTGTTTGAGCCCTGGAGCTGTTGGTAAAATAGGTGGGATCAAGGTGGGTACTGCACATTGGTGGTGAAGGAGGGGAGTCCCCATTATCTGTAAAGTGTTTTGAGTGGAGTGTCCAAAAAAAACCTATAAGTGTAAGCAATTAATAATAATAATATCATCATCATCATCATGGATCCAATAATTTGGCCAAACACTTGCTTCTCTCTATCAGGAAGCACAAGGTTTAACGTTTCAGCTTGATAATGATCTAAAGCATGCAACCAAATGGACAAAGAAATTGTTAACTGCACAAAAATAAATGTTCTTGATACAGATCTGTTTCAACACCTTAATTCAATCAAACTTTTGAAATCAAGGAGACAGTTTATTGGAAACCAAAGAGGGACGATCACATAACTCCTCTAAGAAGTGCCAGATACTCCAGAGGAATTTTGTCAGCATATTTCAATAACTAAATCAACTCAGAAAGAGATGTGCTTTCTGGAGTTTAATTATTTCTGACAATTATGACTTTGCTCTATTCAATGTTATTAAGCCTTCAGGTGTATGCACAAATTTGGAAGGAAACTGTATTTTAAATAGTTTTATTCTTTATGGAAGTTAATATTGTAAAATTAAATTTTCAAAACTTAAATGTTCAAACTGAACATTTTTATGAATGAAAGAATTTAAATGTCAGCAGAAAATGCCCAAAAAATATAAAATATATTGATTTTACCTTTACCTCCCTGAATCAGTACTTGGTGGAAGTACCTTTCTTGGTAATTACAGCTGGGAGCCATTTTGAGTCTCTACCAACTGTACATTGACATAGTGCACTTTTTCCTTTCTTTTTAAACACTTGTTCAAATCTTACATAGAAGAGCAGATAATTAGCAGATAATTAACTTCAGCTGAATACAGATTTGTTTTGTGACAAAGTTATAAGTGGAAATTCTTCTCACCATGTAGATTTCTGTTAATTTTCTGATGTTTTTTTTTTACTTGACATTTCAGAGATGGTGCTGGATTTCTATAGTTTATATAAAAGTGATTTTCTGACTAAGATAACTGACCTTTGAATTCACCACTTTCATTCCAAATCTACGAGGTGGTGGTATTTGCTTTTAAACTGATTATAGAACTGTGCAGAACAATTTAATTATTTAAAGCAACAGTACAGATTTATATTTATACTTTTGTTAGAACAACAGCTACTTTTTTAAATGGAAGCAAACAACAAAAGAACATATTGGTGTTATCAAATACATTGGAAATAACTATTTCAAACTGACATGCAGCGTTCATTATCATGAAAATCCCATTTATAAATACATACAGTATCTTACCAGGCTCAGTGGTACTGTCAGCTTCTGCTCCTCTTTGCTGCCTATAAATAGCCAACTGATGAACAAGCTCTGCCTTTTCTTTCTCCAGGCGACTGTTTGTCAGCCTTTCAAAGAGAAAACATTTAATTGTCTCAACTGTCTTATTATTTGAACCACACATTCCACAATTGTTTTTTTGTTAGCAAATAGCACATCTTCTACTTATTTCTGTCAATAACCAGATACCTACAGTATATTATTTAAAGCCTCTTTGCATTTTTTTGCATGAGCAATGCCATACCATTTGTCCAACAGTAGATACAAATGATTTAATCTAGAAAACCTTTCAAACAGATGAGTTTTACTCTAAAAGAAACATATTAAAGTTTTTCTCAGGCACACCATCATTCAAAGATGGCAGCAATAACAGTTTCACATCTTCTAACAGCTATGTAAAAAACATGAAGTTAAATCTTTTCTTATTTGATAGAAGACCTTTACCTGAAAAGTTGCAATTCCTTGGCAAGACCTGACTCTGTTTTAGCATCCTCTGGGAAGTGTTTTAGAATCTCAATCTAAATATAAAAATGAAATTATTATAAGACACATGTGATACTGCTTATCACCAATCAGAAAGTACTTAGGAGGAAGCAGATTTTGATCCGTTTAGCAAAGTACTCTCAATAGCCAAAAAGTTACAGACCTCCATCAATTACACTTTTAGACCACTGTGAACAACAAGAACAGCTTAAACAACATGTGATGTATATGCAGCCCGGTTCCACCCTATTCCTCTAGCAGTTTTTCATAGGGTTGGGATGTGGCGTTGTTCAGACAAAGAGGACAAAATGTCTTATTCTTCTCATCCATTCACACAAAGCAAGCTAGTGATAAAGTTTATTAATATTTTTTAGAGGTTCTATAGTATTTCCACCAGTGAATGTACTTAAAAATGTAGCCTTGGAACTGATGTCTAAGCCATCATTATAAGCATAATTAATAAGCACAGAGCATCACATAGGCACAATGGTTGCATTTAGGATACGTTTCATTTCAAACAATTTTATATTACTAAGTTAGTGGTGGAAAGCTTAGAATATTATGCCAGCATGTTTTAATCCTCCAAAAACAAACATTTTCTTGTAATTAATCAAAGTTTGAGTTCACAAAAAAATGTTTACATACTAACATTGTACATATTAATTTAATAGCAAAGGGCTCACCTGCTCTTTTAGATCATTGATAACAAGTCTAGTTTTCTGTTCCCGTTCCACAGCTTCTTTTAGAAGCTGCTTCACGTCTGTGATACTGCTGTTCTTTCTGGCAATATCCGATTCAAGTTCTTTCATTTTACTCTCATACATCCTTAAAAAACAAAAATCATGCTTATCTAGATGCAGGCTGATATAATGTTTGTTATCCAATTGCAAAAATTTAAAATGTATAATTCTCATCTTTAATGTTGCATCTTAGCCAAAATCATATCATATTTTATGCCTTGCTGTTCATATAGACAAAATAAGAATGACTGAATACTTGAGTGTCTAACGCACCTTGTTACCACAATAGATTTCCAACTTTTGCTATCAGCTCCCTCCAGTTGTGGTCCTCTGCTTTCAGCAATGCTGAGCCTTTGATTGGTTTCCTCCAGCTGCACCCTTAGTTTCTCATTTGTAAGTTCCAAATTATTCTTTGCTATTCTCAGTTTTTCTGCTGCTTCTGCTTCCTGTAAAAATTATACACGCAGTCTGCATTCTTAGTTTTTGATCCGACAGTGGGTGCCCTAAAAATGAAAAGGCTAAATCTCCCTTTATTTCCAGTATTGGCCATATTACCTAAAAGCCTAAATGTAACAATAAAATGAACTAAAGAGTGTAAAAGATGTGTATTGTTAAAAATTAAATGATATGTCATATTCTATTTATTGTACCAATTGAGTGTACCATGGAATATTTCTAAACATTTTAGGTTCAGTAAAAAGGAGGATAAAAGCAGTTGCAAGAATGTTAAATTGGTTATTTATAACAGTCTAGATGTTTTCCTGACTAACCATTACCTTTTTGAGATCCTTGCGTAAACGCTCATTCTCTGAAATTATTTTCTCCATTCCCTTTGTTTTTGACTCATACCTCATGCTTAATTGACCTCCGACTTGTAACTTCAGTTTTTCATAGTCAGACTAAAGTGGAAACAAGGAAGAAGATAAGAGTTAATACTCTGCAAGATAGTCAACACTGACAAGGAAAAACAAGTGAAAATTTCAAAAGGAAGCTTGTTATAATTTCACAAATTGTCAAATTGACAATTCACTGCTTAAGAAGAGCAGAAATTACATGAGATATAAATGGGGTCTTTCACAGACATCCCATTCTCTGACCAAATGCACATAATCAGACCATTTTTTCCTGACTTGAAAATAATGTCTGTACATGCAAATTACATTTTGATATTAAAATAAATTCTCATTTTAAAGTGAAATGCAATTAAGTTCCTGTCATTATCTATGGGAGTGATCTACTGCATATTTCTAAACCAATGAGCAAAACCCTTAGAAGTAAGTTTTTTTCAACTTGACTATAAAAGAACTGGAACATGGGACTCATTTGTTCAAAAAATATTTTAATTTGCAACCATCCGGCAACAATTGTGTTTTAGTCCTCTAATCTTTGGTCAGATGGAAATAATATTTTTAACGTTAAAGGAAGTTTAATTATCATGACAGAATAACAGAGTCTGTCTCCTCTTAGCGGCTCACTGCCTCTAATTTGATAACTTTAAAATGTGTCTGTGAAACTACCTCAAGGGACAATGAACTTGCTGCTTTTCCAGGAACCTCAGCTTTGCATAAGCATAAATGGTTTTCTGAAGAGGTTAACTGAAGAGATAAATCAGCTAAATCGCATCTGTTGGGTGGGGTAATGGTGTCTGCCACATGCAGCACTAAAAGCAATTTAAAGAAGGACTAACTAATGAAATAAATCTGATGAGCATTTTCTTGTTAGTAAATCCATTAATTATGTTTGTATCACACAAATTGTCTTATACAGTAAGATTTCCAAGTCACAGACAGCTATATGTTTTACAAAAATGACTAATTTAATCAATTGTGTTGTTCACACTTGAACCTGGCTGTAAATCTTAGGTTTTTAGATACCTAAAATATACATGATGCAAGTACGTTTTTATAAATTAAAGAGAACCATAAATATTTTTGTTATACAATGCAAATTGTTCCATATAAAACTTTGTTTTTCCATGTTCCATGAAACAACATTTATATATTAAATCAGTCAAAAAACATATTGTCCCTTTTGAAACCAGTATACGATAATGCTTAAAAAAACATTTGATAGTTGTACATGTTGTTAGACAGTGAAGCTACATTACCTTGTAAAAGTAGTCACCCCCTCTCCAATTTTGTTGAATTACAAATGATGTATTCACAGGTTTAAAGTGATCACAATGTGAATGCTAAAGCGGAACACATTCGTGGGTGAAATCAGTCAAATGTTACACAAAAGTGAAAAGAAAAATACAAAACTAAAATATTTTAAATCACCTTTGGCAGGAACTGCAGTCTTAAGGGTAGGTTTCCACTTTAAACATACATTCTGATATGTAATTAAATGTGTATTACCCTAACATACAGGAATTACCCTTCATTCCTTAAGCATTGCACAGTGAAAATGTAAGATGAGATAACTTAAATAAAATGTTATACCATAACATAACATATAGTTTGTACTGATTCTGAACCTGAATGTATTGATTCTAAATGACCTGAAAAGCATGTTTTGCTGTTGTGAAACATTATAAAGGAAACATGCCAATATTGAGAAAAAGTTTTAAAGAGCACCTGGTAAGCAACTACCCTTAACTTTTAACTAATTTAAAGGGAATACAACATGAGATTCAGAAGGTGTGATGTATGATACTGGTAAAATGTGTATGACACACAGCATTTGTGAAAATACAATAAAAAGATATGATTCTTCATATCTTTTTCTCATATAAAAAGATATGATTCTTCATATCTTTTGTCTGATCAATTTTAAGAAACACTAACTCAATGATTTAAATGTTCTGAGTAATTGAAAAGATTGATAAAAGGTATTGAGAGATAAAAACCATGACAAACAGTTACAAAAAGAAGTAAAATTATCTGATTATTTTGACCCTGTTTCTGTTATGGCCTAAATGGAGAACATGGTTTGTTTTGCTTTGTGAAAATTGAAATTGAAATACAGTATATAACTGTTCAGCAGCTAAACACAAACCAGAGATCAGATCTATTCTTCAACTACTTGTGATAATTGTATGTGGAAGTACATTTTAAACTGAGAAAAAGATGGACTACCCAAGTTTGTAGCTAGTCAGCTATGTTGTTAAAATTGATAACCTGCCTTATTTCAAGAATTGGCTGAGTGTGATTCTTGTATGAATTAGCTACTAACCAAATTAGGAAAAGGGAATACTAATGTATTTCCTTGTAGCATATATTTAGCATACATTGGTGTTATAGTGGAGCATTTTAGTAGCTTTTTAGAGGAGCATTTAGTGAAGCATTTTAAACCCATTTGAACCCTTTTCCGATTTACATACATATTATTTTCCATAAGCATTATGAATTGCACATGTACAGTGTCTTGGAAAATATCTGACACTTGCAGTTTTCACATTTTGTTGCTTTAAAGCTTGCAGTTATGACACTTTGAAGTAGTGATTAATGCTATATATATATAGTGATTCATGTTATACTGTATACACACACTATTCCATAATATTCCATAATTTCCTTTAAAATTATTATTGCATAAGTATTCAAAACCTTTGCTGTATGAAACCTATATTTAGGGGCACAATATTATCTTAACAAGCCATACAATTAGTTCAGTGGTCCCTTTCTGTGCAATAACAGTGGTTTACATGATTTCAGAATATACATATCTCTCTGAGGTTCCGTGGTCAGGTAGTGAATTTCTAAGCTTTCAAAGGAAGTCAGGGATAAAGTCACTTCAATTATTAAGAAACTGAAGTTGCATTTTACCACCCAGACAGTGCTTAGATCAGTCCATGTCTTCAGACTGAGCAGCTGGGCAAGGAGGAAATGGATGAGGGGTAGAAAACATCTCAGCAACATTCTAATCTCACCACAAGGCTGACTCAACAACAATATACCTTTCAACAGGACAGTGACCCAAAGCACAGGGCTAAAGCAATGCTAGAGTGGCTGAAAAGCTACTGAGCTCAATGGCTGAGATGGGAGAAAATGTGCATTAGTCAGCCAATATTTCAGTGACTCTACACAGCTCACCTATAGGGCAGAGGGACAACCCACCTAAAATCCCACATGCAGTTTGCAACAAAGCATTTAAGTGATATTGAAAACATGAAGCAAAAAGGTTTTGTTTTCAGATGAGACAAAATTGGAATATATAAATGCAAAACATTACATCTGGCACCAAACCAACACAATGCATCATCCAGTTAAGGCAGTTTGTACTGCCAAGAATGGTGGTGGCAGCCTCTTGCTGCATATTCTCTTTAGCAGAGGCTGAAAAGCTTGTTATAATTGAAGGAAAATGGATGTATCAAAGAACAGGAAAATACAAAAGGACGATCTATTTCAGTCTGCTACAGACTTAAAACTAGAGGGGAAATCCACCTTTCGGAAATGAATTGTAAATGACAGTGCAAACTAAAGCCAAGAAAGTGAATGCCATTAATTGGCACAGTTAAAGGTCTGACCTGAGTGCTACTGAGAATCTGAAGAAAGATCTGAAAATTTGCACCAAACCTTTATGAAAAGAGACTTACCCAAAAAGACACTGCAGCTTTACTTGCTGCAGAAAGTGCTTCTTCCAAATATTGAGTTCACGGGTCTGAATGCTTATGCTATCAACACAATTTATTCTCTTTAGATTTTGCCAACATTTAATGTAACTTATCCCAAGAAGTTTTCAGTTTGAGCATTCAGGTTTTTAATAAAATAATAGGTTTACAAAATGGTATAATACAGGAATGGGCAGAATACAGGGATACAGGATGGCTTCTGTAAGGACACCTGAACTAACATTCCACTCACAAATTTAGATTTCTTTAAAAACATTTAATTCTTTTTTTGCATAAGTACAGATGACTCCCAGTTTCACTTTTTAATTTGCTGTTTCATGATTTTCTTTCCCAATTTCCTGGTTTCTGTTATGTATTATATGTGTACTATTGTACAGCACTTCATGTTCCTTGTATAAACACAAATTAAATTGGAATATCATCAGCTATTAAGACTCTATTCTAATAGCCGTGCATCAAAAGCACATTGTGACCAAAGCACAGGCATGCTCTCCTACATGTGGTCTGTTTTGTATTGTGTAATTATTCACTGTGTGGTTGAATTTTCTATATGTGAATCTAGTAACATCTAGTTTACTTTCCTTTTTTACTGGAGATGGTCTTCACACACCTTGGAGTGGACACAATGAAAAATGTGAAAATTGCACAAGAAAGGTTATGGAACTCTGATCCATAAGTTTTGGTTAGCACTTTAGAAAAACAATTTGACTCTGAACCATTGTGGAAGTGTCCTCTTTATATGTGACTTATCCAATAATTGTATTTGTTTTGATATTGTCATACTCTGTTAACTACTGTATAATACTTTTGGAAATTGTACTCTATTTGTTCTGTATTTCTTATTGTTTAGTAACCTATAATAGTCCGGGCATCTGTCAAAATAAATATGCAAATGTAAATTTCCTGTGATTAAAGGATTTATTACACACCACATAAGATAACAGCATGACAGCTATTTATAGAGACTTAATAGAGACAAAAAGCCATCTGAAGTTCTATGGCCCAACTGAGTCCATTCAGTATGAACTATAAGCTACAGACACCAAAGTATTAAACACAGTATTAGGCACTTTTCAAGTAATCCTTGTACAAGCCATTTTTGATTGCTAAGAATATTTTCTAAGAAATAGCTATGAGAACTCCACATACTCATTACCTTGAGCTTTTCGTTTTCATTTTCCAGAGCGGTCAGTTGCTCCCTGGATACTATTCCTGGTGCCTTTTTCAGTGCTTCATTTTCTCTTTGCACTCTTTCTACCACCTTCTTCATTAGCCCAATCGTTTTCTCCAGCTCAGGGACTGTCTTACCACTACGTCCGGACTGTACATTAAAAAAGCATTAATATGACATCACTTCCAGGTTCACATGACTTTATATAAGCAAAGAAGCAAAAATTATGTTTCAAAGACTAAACAGTAGACTAGAGCACTATCCTTACCCCACGGACATTGCCAAGTTTTCGCTCAAGTTCAGTCTTCTCCTTTTTAACAATATCACACATCTCCTTAAGGTCTGCAACTTGGTCCTGAAAGTCAGAGTAACTGTGTAAGTACCAGAACTTTTAAACTAAAATACTGTTTACAACCACCATCTTTTTTATTTTATCTGCTGCATTTAACTCTGTACGCTGTATAGCCTTATTTCTACATAAATAACAATATATTCCAGGTATCAAAAGACCACTTTTACTTAGTATTGGAACAAATTACAGAAATTTATTATCAGAAAAAGAATAATGTTTTTGTAGCAAGTGCACTAATATTATATTGAACAGGTATGACATACTGTAAGTAAATTAATTATACTGATAATGCTGTATCTTATCAGCAATATGCAATCTTATGGGATTCTGTATAATTAATCTCATACAGCCGGGGCAAGTATGTGCCTGTTCATTGATTTCTGAGCAACGTGTGGTCGCACAAATGTTCATAACTCAAGTCTGGCATGTAGTGCATCCATGGCTTGAACGTCACATTCCTATCTTGAAAAAAAGCCATTGTTACATGACCAGTATGTTGCATGCTACACATTAGTACATGCATCATCTTGCTACCATGCAGTCGGGTTGCCATTTATCACTACAAGTGGAGTACCATATTGGCTATACAATCATGAACAAATCATCACACTTGGACCTCCCCATCGATCCTGGTGAAGTACTGTATCCTGTGGATCACTGCCTATCATTGACAGACTAAGTCTGGATATAATGTCTTCCCAGGTTAGAAACTGCTTGCTGTGAAAACCCATATTATCTAGATAACAGGGGAATTATACAGTAGGTTTCTTTCTGTGTTTTTCTTGATTTTCAAAAGGAGTGACACTCAATAGGTCAAATCATCTGTGAGCCACATCTCTTTCATTAGTGAGTTGTTTTAACACTTACACAATAGTCACTAAAGAGTATCATGAATAGTCATTATTGATCACCTAACCAAAATGACACCAAAAGCATTTAATAAATATTCAAAATATATTCCTTTACTTTTCAAAAAATAAACATTAAAATAAAGTGATAGGTAAATAGTGTTTCTTTGGAAGTTTATTTTACTCAAACTATGTTGCTGGGCGTTTTACTTTACAAAACAGTAATGGCCAGCTGATTCCAGATTTATGTACCAAGTCAAGGTCAATCCTACTTTTAAATGAAAATCTTTAAAGAACAGATTTCTTTATCCTTACAATGTACAAAGTTTAATAGTAACTTACATCAAAACCCTTGGGTTATATTTAAATCAAAATGAAACTGATTTAATAGTTTCCACCAATGGTAAACAACTCTGGATGTAAAATGTTTTGATCAATATAGTTTTTTCAAAATATTTCCACTTACATTTAATCTAGGTAAATCTTTTCTGGCCTGTTCCAACTGGAAGCGCAATTCCAAGTTTTCTGAAGACAGCTTAAGATTTTGACGCTGCAATTCATGCTCTGCTTGAGATGGTGTATCAGAACCCCTACCAGATGTCTAAAACAAGAATGTTAAAATGTTTAATAGCATTCAATGCAGAAACGTCTTGAACAAATTTGACAAGCTAAATATAAACCATATGAATAGACTGAATTGAAAAAAGAAGCTTAGTTTCTTAAAGAAGACAAAATTAGCAATTAGAAACAAGGGAAATATTCTATTCTATTATTCTACTTCTGGGGATGGTACATTTTCATTTATACAATTGAAAATGTCACTCATTCCACTTTTAATTCAGAGACTGTGCTTAGGGTTTCTGCAACTGTGGAGTGGGCTAAAAGCACATTTTTATTCTAACCTCATGAACTTCAGAGTGCTTCAGTTCTGGGTCCTCAATGTATTCGCTTTCAGGTAATGTCCCCATATCTTTATCTGAAATATAAGCTTCATGTTCTACTATTTGTGGTTCTTCTTCATGAACATCTTCACCAGTTTCAAAAGATGGTTCAAGTTCCTGTCCACATTTTAAAGAAAGAACTGACTTTTTCTTGGCAGAATCCTCCTTTACTTCATTCATATCATGTCCATTATTTTCTTCAGTGCTTCCATTTTCTCTCTGTTTTGCACATAGTTCACCCTCTTCATTAGTCACACTTTCACTGTGTTCTGAGTCAGTCTTTTCAGATACAGGATGATCACAGTCAGCAATGTTCAGTTTACCCTCCTTATCATGATCTCTAGCACTTTCACATTCATCAGGGGACCACAATACGTCAAGATTAGACCCTTCAACATCAGTCTGTTCTTCTGTCATGGGATTCTCTGCTATTCCTGGATCTCTCTCATCAAGTTTATCCTTATTCAACCCTGCTCTGTCTTCAAGGTAGGTTTCATAAAAATGTGTGTCACTTTGGTTCTTTTCTTCAATATCACTTATGCTCTTAGCTTCTTGTGGAAATAGTTTTTCACTCTCAGTAATGGTGCACTCTTTACCTGAGCTTTCATTTTTAACTGCATATTCTTTATATTGAGTCTCCTTAGGAGATGTGATCATATTAGACGAGGAATGGAGAACTGAAATTTTATCCTTAGAGCACAGAAGAAGATAAAAACAGTTGGAAAAGAAAGAAAAAGATAAAGATAAGGAACAGGATAAGAAAAACATCATAATGTTTTATGTTAAAGGTAAATGACATGGAATTAGCCAAGACTACCTTACATATGCACTTTCATTTTTAAAGTTCATTATAACTGTGATTGTGAATACATATAATCTGTAATAAACTTATGTTTAATGTTTGAACATTATTTTTTTAACCATTTCTTGCTCAACCCCTTTACATTAACTAAAAGACCATTAACTCTATTGTCAATCTAAATTTAATCTAAAGCATTAATGTTTTTTTCCTAAATTACTTTGATTAATGAAGAACACTACATATTTCTTTCTAATTTCAATGTATCCTTCTAATGTTACATACACAACAATGCAATATGCAATATCTTTAGAAAAGTAATTTAACGAATCCCCACAGTATTTTGCAAAATATTAAACACCTTTATACAGGTGTCTTATCTTAAAGGCTATTATCATGTTTTCCTGTTCACCTTGGGTTCACACTTACACAGTGCAATACAGTATAAATTACATGAAGGTATTGCTTTTCATTCTGAATGACTCCAAAGTGCTTTACACTTTGGGGGTGGGGGAATTTTAGGCAGCCCAGATTGTGCAATATCAAGAAGGATAAAAGGCAGAACACTGGGGCTAACATGCCTACTCTTATAAAAACTACCACGGAATCTTTAATGACGAAGTCAAGAACCCGGTTTAATGTCTCATCTGCAGGGTGGGATAGTTTGGAAATTCTGAACCAGAGGGAAGAGTGCAATCTGCAACTAGCACCACAGCACCAAACCTTTTGTTTTTTTATATAAAAACAAATAATATATACTGCCTTACAGCTTAGATCCTGGGTTTCACTGAGACAGGAGAAGCTTCTTTGTGGAGCTTACATGTTCTCTCTGAGGCCATGTGGGTTTACATAATATCTAAGTTAACTGACATATTTAGATTTGTACACCCTGCAATTGACTGGCATCCAATCCAAAGTGTCATATTTTGTGCCCATAGAGTCCCACATTGGGCTTTATACAGATACAAGAGAACAAAATGGCATCACCAAGGTAAAGTCACTTAAAAGGGCATTAAACCAACATTTGCAGTCAGTCTACCAGCATTTGGATATTCTGCAGGAATTAAGCAGAACCATTCATCCACAAGAAAATCAATCAACTCACACCTGGGTGACAAAGGTGGAAAAAGCTGTCTAGGGTGCCATTCCTAAGTAAATCCCATAAATGCTTGACAGAGCTCAGAGCTCCACATGTGGAAGTGCATTAAAATCGAGACTCAAAACCATTCTTTTCAGAAAAGCTTTTAATTAGTGTCTGTATCTGCTCCATTGCTCCATTTAGCACTTCTAAATATTTTTCTTTCTTATATGTACTTACTTTGTAATTTGATATTATTAGAACTGTTTTTTATACCTACTGTAAAGCACTTTAAGATACTATACTACTTTTAAAGGTGCTATAATCCTCTTCTTTTTCTTATTATATGTGCTCTGTGAATGGGGGCATTATCATCCTAGAAGACACCCTTTCTGGCAAAAAATAAATGCTGGAACACATGGTGAAGATAATCCCTTATTATCATTAAGTAGCAATTAGCACTGACCTTGCCAAAGAGTGCACCTAAACCCTGGAACCATCTGGAATCTTCAATATTGCAACCAAGTGCTCATGACTGTAGAGTTCACGTTGGTGCCACACTTGCACTTGTCTATATTACTTTTCTTAACTGCTTGGTAGTCCTTTGCACTACTTGACTTACAAACATGCATTGCCAGGCGTGATGAATCATTTGTACATTGCAATCCAACTAAGGAATGCGTTGTTATGTTTTTGAACCACATCTACAGTAGAATGTCTCAATATACAGTACATGGGATATATTGCTTTCAACATATTGGTTGTCCATCATTTAACCAGGTGTTTCCATTTTGTCATCCACCACATATATATACAAAATAGTTCCTTTTTAAGCCTCATGCAAAATATTTAAAAATAAACAAGCCGTATCATACTTGTACTAACAGCTTTTCCTGTTTTATATGTATGTCACAAGTACCAAATTGATTTCTATATGCTTATGATTTTTTATAGAAGTGTAAGGAACAAAAAGCAACTCAAGATTTCTGCATTAAAAGGGAAATAACATTACAGGACTACTGAAACTTATATTTTTCAGTAGACTATATCAGATTCTAATATTATAATTGATTACATAAGTTTCAGTCAGTCACAAAAAAGGGGAATGTGTCGAACAGAAACAGCAGCAAACGAACTGTAGAAACACCAAACACAAATCATTGATTGGGTACTCAGCAACTGAAATTTAATGTTGATTAAGACAAAGAGATATATAGGAGGTAGAATTAACACTTTTTAAAAACTGTATACATAATTCTGGACTGCAGGAAGCTATGTGTGAGGGTCTGAATGCTTATGTATTATGCATCCCAAAAGTAAGGGGAGTAACAATTTGAATTTAAATTGAGTTATGATTATGTTATGAATAAATCTAATGCACTTGTAAGACCAAAACAATGATATAGTAGTTTTAGAAAGAACCAAAGTAAAGCAACATGAATGACTGTTAGTCGTATATTTCTGCCAGGACACTGTTCTATTAAAAGCTTTAGGTAATATTTTAAAGATTTTCTTCCAAGAACAGAAAGATATTGTACTTACTGAAGGTCTTGAAAGTGGTTCTTTTGTAAGCTGCTTTTCTAGAGAATGAATTTTTTCCTCTAGGTATCGATTTTTCAGATTTAAGTCTTCCATTGCTATGTCTCGGGGCAAAGCCTGCTGTTGTCTGAAAATGAAACAATTTACAATAATGAAATTCAATATTAATAGATATGTGATTTCAAAACTGAACATCAATACATAAGTTGAGGGAAGAGTGTGTTTCAATTTATCATAATGGGAAATAACATGTTAGGAGGAGAAAGAAAATGACAGCACACTATGCTACCTGACTCTATCTCCTTTTCAACAGAGAAAATCAGAATTTCTAAAGGTAGTACATTCACCAAAACATGTGTTAAATTCTAAGGCTTTTAGTACTCTTTAAAACTTAATTCTTTGAGACTTGGACAACACACTGAGTTTGTGAAAGGGATTTTACTTAAGTTTACTCTTGGTTAACCATGCATTTTCCATCTTTAATGTCACAACAGTCAAGAGACTAGAAGAAAAGCCTAATATACTACACTCACTTTATTAAAACAATTTGGTGCTCAAGGTCTGAATTTCTCCTCTTGAGTTCTTCAATCATTTTTTCAGATTCTAAAGTTCGAGCTCCCACTACCTGATCTACAGTCACACCACGGCTTTTGAGTTTCTTCTGCAGGGCTGCTTTTTCCTGATCAGTTCTAAAAGTTGAAAATATTCAGGATAAAAGTAAAAGAGCACAGGGAAATACTTTTACATACATAAATAGCTATGACTAAACAGGAAATTCAGAAAAACACCATCGTAATGTGCAATTGTGGCAAAGGGCAATGATAGGGGTGGTGAAGATATGAAAAGGGACAAAAGTGAAGTTTTGTCATCTCTCCAAAAATTATGTTTCTTGAAATCCAATTATCATTATTAATAAAATAAACATTGACAATATTACTATCACAAATAATGATTTTGTTTCAAATCATAGTACCCCGGAAAAACATCACAACTTATTAAGCATTACTTGCTTGAAGTTTAGTTATGTAGTGACATCTAGTGTTCATATAAGCGATATATACTGACCCCTAGGATGGTTGGACAACTACAATTTTTAACTACAGTTGTTTACACCTTAATCAAATAAAATTGGCTATGGTTAATTATGAAACATGCTAAACCTACAAAAAAGTTACTGGGAGAAAAACACACTGAAACTGACCTGGCATAGAGGTCCTTTAATGTACTGAGCTGTTTTGTTAGGGTATCAACCTCTTTCTCCTTTTCTTTTAATTTGTTCCGAACACTTTCTAGTTTAGCTTGCCATTTTTTGCTTTCTTCCCATCTTATTATTTCTTCTTTTGTTGTCTAAATGAAGACAGGACATGAAAGGAATAATGATTAATGGTTCTAGAAGTTGCCTTATGTTTCAGAAAACACTCACAGAAACAGTGCAAAATCACTAAATAATGTACATTCAAGAACATGAAAAAACAAACCAAAATTAAGCCACTCTAGAGAAAAGTTTAATAAAACCATTAGGCCTAAGTCTTCTTTCAAATACAAATACAATAGGATCTCAACATCTGCAAATTTAACATAATCAGTGTGGGACCATATGTTTATCTGCAATTATTTGTGATCAGAGGATGTGCAGAGCCAATATGTGTGCTGTATTTGTGCCTTTTGAATGGTTAGGAGCTTAAACACTTTTCCTCAATTTTTGAACCAAATATTAATCTTTATTCTATCAATATGTTTTAATAGAAGGATGGAAAAATAACCTATTTTTACAAAAAAATTACATTTGTTTGACAACATAGAACTATAATAAAATGTTAACACTGGATTCTAAAGTCTCACTGTCTTAAAAGAAATTCACATTATTCATGTTTGGAAATTATGCTGCCCATTCATGTTTTTTAAAGTAAGGTTTCAACATTTGTGAATTTAACATTTGCAAAAAAAAATTATTTGCGAAATTGGTCTGGCCAACAAGGTCTTGTATGTATGCAGCGCAAGATGAAACCAAGCTAAAGGTTGTTAACTGCAACTTTCAAATTAGTGATGCGACAGACTAGGATGTGAGACAAATCTAGCTGGTTGAGTAAGCCTCTCCCTGTCTCCTGTCCAAGTATCCCCCACCCAGCACTCTCTTCTAAACATGGTCTTGTTTTTATACTGCAATACACAATCCTGGTTCTGTGTTGGCTGTATAGGGAACAACAGGCTGGAGACTACTTCGTTTAGAGTACCTGTAGTTTTATTGCTTATTTCACTACAGCGGGGCATGCTAATCACGAAGGCAGAGAGAGAAAAAAAGGATTCATGTTCTGTATTTTAGTTTATTAAAATTAGTTTCTGATTACTGTTGATTCTTTTAGTGGACCAATCATATCTAAATTAACTAAAAACCAACACATTAGTATTGTAATTACACTATAAGGGAGGGTTACTTGTGTCTTTTAACCATACTGTAGATACAATATACTGTAGTACATTATGGGATAGCATAGGGGTGGACTTGGTTGTATGTGATTTTGACTATTTGTTACAGTTCTCTGCACCAAACCCTCATGAATGTCAAGACCCTACTTCACTCTCCTACTGTTCTAACAGTGATTCTACTACTCTGGTAACACGGAAGTTTTACTTCAGAATTCAAAACCCGCATTTTCCCCAAAACTTATTTTTAATATTGTACTTATATGTAAGTGGAATGCAGTATTTTTCTAATTATACATATTTATATGAAGAAAAAAACCTCCTGAATAAGTCCTTCAGACAGGAGCAGCAGAACTTAACTACAATAAGCAGTATTAGTATTTTCAAATTATCTATTTATATTGAGTGACCTCTTTCAATGGAGGGAAGCATTTTTTCCTGAATTTATTTTCAGATGTATTTATTTTCAACATAATCAGCTCTCATGAAGTGACACACTTGATACACTGTGTATCAATGTTTCACTGTAATTAGTGACAATAATAGAATGCGCATTTCCACACTGATGTCTGGAAGATTAAATGCAATATTTAAAAAGCTACAGTAGACCTTTTTCAGATGTACTGTACCTGTATTTTGTATTTACCAAGTGTGGGATTAGTTTAACATAGCAGGTGCTGCAATTCACTGCAGAACTTAATGCAGACGGCATGGTGGCTATAGTTAAAGTACCCAGCTCAAAGATGTTTATCTAATGATTTTCATGCAAACTAATGGCATATAATAATAATCATCATCATCTATATTTTTGTACTTTCAAATATAAAACTAATGTATTCTTATTATTTTGAAGAACATTGTAACTGGTTTCAAACAGCACCTAGTAACTAAAAGGGACTCTTTCACTATATTTGAAGGGGAATAATAATATTCAATGAATTATCCATTAGATTATTATACTCCATATACAAATTATACTCCATAACTAGTAACTATTTATCTTACCTAACTCAAATTAATAATTATTTTACAGACACATTGTTTATATAACAATATATAATATAAGAACTAATTTATGTTCTGAAAGTTGAGTCTTCTAAGAATAGCTTGTACCAACAGATTTATCTTATGAAAGCTGAAACATGCAGTGTTAGGCAAATATGTTTTTTGTTAATTTACATAATGTACTTTTCCCCTTAGCTGTTTACAGGCATATCTGCTATAACACGATAGTGGTAGAAACCACCATGTTACAGAAAATTGTTATAGAAACCATTGGTTCAATGGGAATGAAGTTGTTATGGGGCAAATAGTAAGGATTCACTATAAGAAAGGCATTTGTTCTACAGTTATTAGTCATATTATTAGTTTCAATGTATGACTTTTGTATAATTTGTGTTTTGTGATCATTTGAAATATAAAACAGTGGGAAAAAATTAAATAAGACATAATATGCATCAGTATTTCCATCACTAAACAAAGACTAATTTTGCAGTGGAGGAGAGTGAAAACATTTTTCATTAGAAACTTTATCAATATACAGTACACTACTAAAAGCGCAGCAGCACAAATGCTATCATGTATCCTTTAGTTTCTCTCATGTCATTTTATAACATCAAACATTCGTTCTGGATTAATAGTTTTCCTTTTCATGTGCACCACACATATGTATGTAATGGTACAAGCCAAAGCTTTGGTCAGGGCCTCCTCTGGGAGTAGAAACTGGAAACACCTGGCTTAATTGCCTAATTAGTAACCTGTGTGACTGGAGTGCCTGAGAAAATCCATGAGGTTGCTGGTGGTCCAGATTGGGCCCCAGGGCCTTAATTAATCTATTGTTTGTCCTGGAACCTTGACTTGTGAGCTTTTGGAATTTGGTCTGTCTCGTTGGAGGAAAGAGGTCCTGGTCTACACTACCCTGGCAGACAGGATTCTATGACACTAGTAGAATGTCTCATACTCATTGTATGAGTATAAAGCACCTACATGTATATTTATTATTTTTATTGCTGTTTCCAAAGAATTAAAATATAGTGGGTGAGGACTGTGAACAACTTTAATATGTATATAGGTTGGATAAAGACTGCTGTCAATGCATAAGAGAATATGCCAGCATCCCAAGCACGTGTTGGTTGTGCAGCAGCCTCACTGCAGCAGTTTTATTCTATGTGTGTGACTAATTCCAGTATGGTTAAATTGTGTTAGAGCCAACATGCACTCATATTATGGTGCAAGTGTTTCCCAATAAATCAACTGTGTTATATCCAATTTGTGGTATGGAAATGTTATAGCAGAAATGACTGTACTTAAAAGCTAAACAGAAATCAAGAAACTATTTTACCTTATCTTCTTTCATGGGTTTTCTTTCCACTGGAGGTTCTGTATTTTTACTCTCTAACTCAGATTCTAGCCTTTTCACCTTCTTTTGAAGTTCATCTAGTGTAGCACATTTTCCTTCACCATCAGACTTATTCTGAAAATATTAAGTATAAAAAATCATGAACTATACAAGGTATATTTTCAATTTTATAGAGTGCTGTTGATTTGAAGTAGTTTCAGAATTCAGGAATAATTTCAGGAATAATTTCTTTAAAATACATATTCTGTAGATTAAAAGGCCAGCCAGATTATTTAACAAGAATAACACTATCTACATTGTTAGCACATTCTAGGGTCAGCTAGAGAGTAAAGCTAAAATTCACATATTGAAATGTTCCAAAGAAAATCTAACATTTTTGGTGAAGAAACAGGACAAAAGTCTTTTGAGATTTGCTACTGGAAATTTCACAAAGATAAGCTCTGCTGTAATCACTGCTTACAATGCTTTAGCCTGTTTTAGAACAAACACATTGCCCATGCAATTGGCAAGTTAAAGGTAAACATAGTTTACATAAATATGGTGAATTCAAAAAATTATCCCTGACTTGACATTTTTTCAGCATGGTAAGAAAAAATCTCCCTTTTGCCCCGTGTGCATCAGAATAGAAAAGAAAAGCATATTATAAAGAAAACAAAAAAAGCTTAGTTCTAACACAAAACAAATTATCAGCGTGACTTCTGAAATGAGATAAATAATTAAGAGTTAGGTGCTGGACATTTAGAGACACATATATCCTACAGATGCTGAAAAGCTCACAAAGTTCTGCTATAAAATCATAATTCTACAGCTCACTTGACTCAAAACAAATCATATCTATTCAGCACTATTATAGGGAATTTATAAAATCAGCCACTATGAGGCACAGACTTGATTTGAACCTACATTATAAAAGTTGAAGGGCTCTGCTCATTGAAAGGATGCTGTTGAAACAAAGTTAGACAAAACTTTCCTTCACAATGTTAAAATGTGGAACAGAAAAATTTAAGCCTAGAATGCTTTTTTTCTTATTAAATATATACAGCTATAAAAATTAAGCTTTAGCTTTAGGTTCCACACATTCATCACCTGCAGGCTGCTGGTGAGCCTCTTGATTCTTTTTTTCAGCTCTTCATTCTCTTTGTCCAGTTCATCTCTCTCTGTCTGCAGTTTGGACTGAGACTTCTGACTTCTTTGCAATTCTCTGTTCAAACTTTCCACCTCGTCTTTCAAGGAGTTTTCCCTGTTCTTTATCATTTTAAGGCTGTCCTTGGCTGTCTGGAGTTCTTCACTTAGATCTTGAATACGAGACTAAAATTACAAATAAAATGAGGAAGAGTGACATTTATATATTGTAAAGAAATTGTCATATACATTTTGGAAGGATAGATAAAAATAAAGAAATAAATGTGGTCTGACAGTGTTAAGACATAGTGACGCAAATATCATCCAGTATAAGAATTAAAATAAAGTTTTACTAAGGCCATTTTCTAGAAGTTTCACACTGTCCATCCTTATTTCTCATATGTTTAACCATCTGTATCATACAAATATTATTTACAATATAATCCTAGACATCATTTAATACAAGGGCCTGAAAAACAAATCTTTGAGTGCCTAGTACAAATTGGTTTCGTAAAGGACTTCAGAGCCTAATTAGATACTGTACATAAGTAAATTACAATTATGTACAGTATCTTAGAAAAGCTCAATAATTAATATTAGTCACACATCAATAGATTTTGACATATTAAAGACTGTTAATCTCCGTTTTGATTTTACAAACCTGTCTATTGTCATCTAGTTGATAAACATAATTTATTTTATTTTTATACTTGCCTTCAGATCTTTAGTGTGCTTATCTACAATCTGTTGCACATTTAAGTTTTGCTCCTTTTGTGCTGCACTTGCAATTATCTGCTGCTCTGCATGAGCTGTCATTTCTGAACGAAGTTCTAACAGTGCTTTACTGAGGGCCTTAAAAAGAGAAAATAAATATAATGGTGAAAATAAATTAAAATACAACAAAATTAAGGAGTACAATCAATTCATTTTTGATGAACTTGTTTGTATGTTGTAAACAAGTACACTTCAACATTCTATAAAAGTTACCTTAATACCACAAACTTTTTTATTACCTTTTGTTGTTTTTCCTTCAGCATTAATTGTGATTTAAGTCTTTCAACTAGGTTTTTCATTGTAGCAGTAGGAGACTTGACATTGGCTTCTTTCTGTGCTTCCAGCTCTGTTTTCAGATACTGAACCTCCTTCTCTGTTTGCGACAGCTGTTCACGTAATTCATCAGCTTCCTCCCTCAGCTTTTTTGACTGAGTAGCATATTTTCCTTCAAGCCTGTTGTACAATAACATCTTTAGTACAGCATAAGATAACATAATTATCATTTTGTTGGTGATTGCTTTAATGTATACCTTACTTAAGGGATACTGAAAGTAGAAAGTGAAGATAAAACTAAATATTACAATAATAATTATGGCAGTTTGGTCCAGGAGAGGCACCAGAGGAAACCAGAAGGAACCATATGAGTGGTCACACCACCCTAAGGAGCAGGAAGGTCATGTAACACCATAGTATTCCATATTAGTATTAAACCTATTCAAAAGATGTGCATATGGAACCACCCACAGGTGAGATCTAAAGAGGGATCACTTAGAAGACATCACTCAGAAAAAGAGACTCAAATCTCCTCCAGAACTCTAGGACAGGTTTATAGTCCTGGAACTATCAGCGAGTTGAAAGGAAGGCTCGGAAAGATGAGGGAAGAGAGCCTCTTTACAGTCAGTTAAAACATTCACACAAAGAAAGAAAGGATAATTAAGGGTAGAAGTGAGGACACTTTCATGTAAACTACAGGTACAGAATAAACAGGATTATGATAAAAAGAAGGGAGAAATTAAATCAACAGTATACCATATTGTACATAAAGAATAAAGAGGTAACAATTACACCTAATCCATTCATAAGTATAGGAGACTACACACGGCCAGGTGTATTAATTAGTAAAATCTATACTGTATATTAACAGCTCTTCCTCCTTATACTTTCTAGAGACATAATACCTTATTGCCAAACAAACCTGTTTTCACACAACATTAACAAATATCTCAAAGACAACCATCAAAACTTACTTGGCTTTCTCATTTTCATGTTCCTTCATTTTCATTGATGTTATTTGTTTCTGCTTCTCTAGATCAGCTGTCACTCTTTTTAATTTTTCAGTGAGAGAAGAAAGGGAGTTGTCTTGCTCAGCTACAGTTTGTTCCATCTCAGCCAATCGGACTAGGTGTTTTGTAGTAGGAACTGCAATGTTGGGCTTCTTCATCAATTCCTAAATGTGAAAACAAAAAAATGATTTCAAACTATGTATATCTTATGTGACTGACAACACATATACATAAATGATTAAAAAAGGTATTTTTTTAAATTACTAAAAGGTGCTAAAGGATATAACATCAAGATTAAGTAAAACATTTATTAAAATCTTTAAGCCTATGAAACACACACAAGTGTCATTTTAACATAAGAGCTAGGATAAGGGTTGGTGGCTTTTTGGTCCTTTTGGTTGCTCATTACTGTCTTTACTTCAGTATTGGTGATGGTATTATCCCGACTATTTCATTTTATTTCTGTCAGTGAAATGGTATTTATTTCCACTTTTGACATCATACTGTGTTTTTGTAGAATTTTGAATACTTCAATCCAAAGTCCTTCTCTTCATAAAAGTAAAGAGAAATTGTTTGAAATTGTTTGTCTGTGCCTTTGACACCCAGTTACTGTACATGTGTATGTTTTTGAATTTTTGTATATGTTTTCATTTATTTAATACAAAAAGTTTAAGTCACCATTTGCTAGCAAGGAACAATACAGTAGCATTACTGAAAACTATCGTATTAAGAGTGATATTTTGTGACCGAAAATTATACTGCTGCAAGAATGTTTTACACATAATTAAATTTAGGCTAGATTTAGGCATTGCTTGATGTGAGATCTAGGCTGTATGACCAGCCAGTAGGTCCAGCCACCATATTCAACAGTGTATACAGTATCAATGAAACCTACTGCACACACCCTCCATGTGTGCCCAAGGCTTAGACTACAAAAGAAAAACCAAGATCAGCGACGGCAGATAGCATAAATAACTGTGAGCTTAATAAAGAATTGCTAACCAGGGCTGTTTGTTTGAATTTGTTCAAAGATGTATCAGAATGCAAATCCAGTTTTTGATGCAAAACTCTAATTTGCTCTTCATGCTTCTTTGTCATATCTTCCTGTTCCTGTAATGAACATCAATTGGATTATCATTAGTACATATACAATAATTGAAAACAGTCACAATCTACAGTGCTTTGCACAAGTATTCAGACATGTTTCACATATTGCTATTTTAAAGCTGGTATTCATGATACTTTAAAATAGCAATTAATATTTGTTATATACACAGGCTATTCCACACATTAATAGTAAAACACACGAGGCAGTAAACAGACAAGTAATATGAAAGATGATTGCAAAATTTCCAAAGCTTTTGCTGTGTTAAACCTTATTTCTAATTATCTTAACATAACTAACTAAATGAGCCACACAATTAGTTGAGTGGCTTGTCTGTGGTCACTTGTGGTTCACATGATTTCAGAATAAATACACATATATCTTTGTAACAGCACTCAGTCAGGTAGTGAATTGAAAGCACCAATTCAACCATGAAGACCAAGGAGCCCATGGACTCGGTGAAAAAGTTGTATAATTGCATAGAGCAGGAAAAGGGTATAAATACATATCGAAGACCTTTAATATCTCTTTGAGCATGGTGAAGCCAAACATTAAGAAGTGGAACAAACTAAGATTAGGTTGTCCTCCCAAACTGAATAGCTGGACAAGAAGGAAATTGTTCAGTAACGCCTACTGTGAGTCTGAAAAAGCTACAGAGTTCAGCGTCTCAAGGCTCAACAATATCTCAGACCACTTTAGAAAGGAGGCTTGTATGGAACTGAACAACATATTAGATCCTGTATGGAATTTGTAACATAGCACCAAAATTATATCGTAATTGTGAAAAATGTTTTGTGATCAGACAGACAAAATTTGAACTTTTTGAAATGAGTGACATAAGAGAACTTGAGTAAATCTGACAAGAACGGGCAAAAACTGCACCATGTTGATGTCCAAAATTTGTAGACTTACCCAAAAAAACTTTTGTAATTGCTACCGAAAATGCTTCCATCATATCTTGAGTTCATGGGTCTGAACACAGTACTTATGAAACCAACATACTGTACAGTATTTCAGTTTTTTCCTTTTAGATTTAACTGACATTTACTGTAATTTATCTTACCCTCAAAGACTTCAGTTTGGGCATTAAGATTTTGAATAAACTTTTATGTTTAAAAAATGTGTATCCATCATTTTGTTATTTCACAAACTAGGACATCGCAGGAAAGGTCTGAATATAGTTGCAAGACACTGTAAAAAGACATTTGGTAAAATAGCAATATGAAAGGTTGTTTTATATTTTAGGCCTTGAACTAGGCAATTTAAGAAAACCATTAATCAAATTAACTAAATGCAGGTTCCTGTCTTTCCTTTTGCAAACCCTTGTATTTATATGAATCCAAAAGACTCATATAAATACTCTGTGTATAGAATATTCTCATATAAATCTAGAAAGAACAGATAACCGGATCAAAGAGTAAAACACAAAATGCAAGTGTGAAACACAAACTACTGTAATAATAAAGATTATAATGCCAAGAGACAAATATAAGGCAAAGAGACAAAATGTGAGTTCCAATTAATGACTAAGCACTGTTTAAATACCTGTCTTGCTCTAGCCAAGAGGTTCTGGTATTTTTTCACAATGTCTTCTTTCTGGTTTAATCTGGCCTGAAGGTTGGCAATGGTTTGATGGGCCACCTTTAGTGCTTGTTGGTACTCTGGGTCCTCTCCTCTCTTTCCTAACTCCGCAATCAGTTTCTCTCTCTCAGCCGTAGCAGGCAGACGAAGCCTCAGCTCATTGATGACCTTGTCCCTTGAAAGCACATTTTGTTCCGCCTTCCACAGAGCTTCCTCTTTTTCTTTGAGTTTCTGTGACAAAACAAAAAAAATATGTTTGCTATATATGTCTGCTTTTTTTACCACATTTATCGTTTTATTTTATTACACAACAATCTTGATTTTGATCAAGAACTAAAATGGAGTGAGATTTAACATTAACCCCCAAAGAAAACACTATTGTCATGTTTTCTCCTCCCTCTGACACTCTATTTTTTGTTCAATCACAAAATGAATTTGATTGTAAATGACAGCACAAAAATTAATTGGGTTTCCTTTCACAAAACAGATCTGCCAAATACATTTGCGCAGTTAAAAATGAATAGTTTTCCAAAATACTTCACTTCTTCTAAAATCTTGCAAGTTGACTGTGTTTCTAGAATGGTGCGGAGATGTTCTTTGATCTTCCTTAGAGCGAAATCAAGCTGCTGAGGTAGAGGCAAGCTGGGGTCTGGGATATTTCCAGTTGCTTCTTCAAACTGCAAAAAAAAAAAACTATTAAACTAAATGAAAATATTAACTAAACCACATTTTAAGTAGAGTGCATATTCACACTATGGCATCCAACTGCTTTTCCAATTACAAAGTGTGTAAGAATGATAGCATTCCTGCTTTTGTGACAAGAAATAAGTACAGAGAAATAAAAGAAAAATAATTGAGTTCAAACTTTGATAATAAATACCTAGAATGCATTAAATAATATCTCATACATTCACCAATACAGTATATACTGTAGCATATATTAGATTTACACAGTATCTCAACCTACACATTTCACATGGTGGCTAAACAAATAGAAGCTCATCACACTGAAAAAAAATCACAATCACAATTCACCCTTTGCTTTGAAAATGAACCACCCTCTACAACATATAATTTATTTCACTTTTGTTGATTGTACAATCAGCCCGTGGCAACTGTGGATTCGATATCCACAATATACTGAACATGGTTTTCCCTGTGTGACTAGACTTCGCAAATGTGGGGAAGAAAGCAGCTATCTGTTGTGCTTTTTAGTTTTATCCTGTTTTAGTGCTTTTTGCTATTTAAAAACATGGTCTCAAAATGTAGAGAAAATCATTGACCAAAATGATGCCAAAAAGCCACGAGACAATATTAGATATTAGTTTATTAATTTTATAATATTAGTTTTGAGAGAATATTAGTTTCAGTTAACCTTGCCCATGGTGACACTTTTGTGTCAGTGTGAAAGTTGATGGTTTCATAGTCAATGGTTTGGATTCAAGGTAAATTTAACTATTTTATTTTACAATAATCATTTTATTGATTTTTACATGTTAGTTTATATGTGTTTATTTTGTTTAGTAAGCTAACATATCACTTAAATTGTGTGCCACAGCCTTTTTAGCCTCACTTATTATTCCCATAAATGTATGTATTTGCCAGCCCTAGTTTACTTAACTTCAGTAAATTCAGTTTAAGTTAATAAAAACCTCTATGGTTGACAAGGGATTATTGTACCTTTCTTGCAGTGCTTAGCACTTCATTCTGCTGTCGTTCATACAGATCCAGCTGTCGCTCCAGCTCTACTTCTCTCTGATCCCAAGATAGTTGTTGTTCTTCATGGAGCTAGAAGAAAAAAAAACATACATAATATATTCAGTTTTTTTAAACATTCTGCCAAACTCTGGTGTAGGTACAAGTGCTGTTGTCAGGCTTTTGGATCCTAAGCAAAACACCAATTTATCAAATATTAACAAGGGAGCAATAAAGCAACACATTCTAGATCTTTTTAGCAATAAAGATTGAAACAGTCAAAACAGTGAAGAAAACAAAGTGGAGATAACTAATAGGGAAATGTAATCTTAACACAATGTGCTTTATTCTACATTTTGAAACTGCACAACATTTCAAAACAAAAGCATAGAATTCCAGAAAAACAGACTATGACTGCATAAGACAAAACTAAAATGATAAACTTATTTAGAACAGCCAGAATCAGGAGGAAATGGATGGCAGCTGGTTATGGATGCTTGAAGTACAAAACAGATTTATCCAGTGAGTGTGACTTATGCGGGGTTTATTTTGATAAGTACTTCAAAACAACGCCAGGAAAGTAGTGGCATAAATGGTAAAATAAATCAAATATAAATAATATAAGGAGAAAGAAAGCACTCTATAAAATGTTAAAAAGTGTAAATGCAAAGAAAAGGAATATAGGCTAATGAAGTGTAAGAACAAGTTAAAAGGGATATTAGAAAGGACAGGAAAGTTAATATCGCAAGGAAGGCCAGAACAATAGAAGTAATTTTTCAGTATTACACAAGTCAAACAGTAAATGGTGATGCAATGAACCTATCTAAAACAAAGAAACTTTTTGATTACGAAATGTTAAACATATTACCAAGAAAAATTTAGACAATATGCCTCAGAAAAGATATTTAAAAAAAACAATAGCATAGAAAATACAGATGTTTTACAGGAATTAGACTCTAGTGTAGCCTAATCATAAGACATAAAAATATTTTTTTGTAGTAAGTGAATTATGCTTAATTATTTTAATGTAAAAAGAAAAGGAAATGTAATCACAAATGCACAACATTCACCAAGCAGGAAAAAAAACAAAAGTAACGAAAGTACCTTTAAAATGAATATCATACGAGCTATAAAATATTTATTAAAAATATGTCTCACATTTTTCTGCTGGATAACTTCTTCTTCTAGACTGCTAATTGTACGTTCTTGCCCAGCAATAACATTCTTCAAATATTTTATCTCTTCTTTTTGAAAGCCAAACTCTCTACTACGCTTTAAATCTTGTAGACGAAGCTCTTCCATTTTCTTATGCCATTCAGTCACCTGTTGAGAAATTGAAAACAAAAAATAAAATTTATTTTATTGCAAAAACAATATTTTATTGTAATCACTACATGGCATTTAGCCATTAATATACTGGCAGTGTTTATATATCTACAGTCTGACCTAGCCAATATTATGTTTAAATGTTTATTTTTTTCTATGTACTATATTTCTATGAACAGTATACTGATTTAATGTAGATACATCTAAGTTTGAATGCATTTAAGATTTGTAAAGAAAAGCTAATTAATGATACATTTTGCTGTGATATTAAAGACATAAACCAAAACATAATATTAAGAAAAAAGATTTTAAGAAACTACTGCAGAATCAACTCCCTAACATTATATTTTAGCTGCTTACCTTTTGTGCTCCTTTTACATCTTTCAGCGTGCTAATGAGCTCCTCCAGTCCTTTCATCTTGATTTCCAGTTCAAGGGCCTTTTCTTCAGTCTTCCTCTTTTCCTGCTCTGTTCGCTGTACATCCTGAAGGATCTTTAGTTTGTCATTTTGGAGCTGGATCATAGTTTTGGAGAATTTCTCTTGCTGTGCCAGAGGCAGGGCACCACTGAAGTGCCTCCTAAGTGATTGGATGGTCTGCCGCAGATGCTTGGCCCTGTTACGTCCCTCTAGCCTGGCATAGTACAAGGCCTGCTCTTTATCGTCTAGTTTCTGCTCCATACGCAGGCTGTAGGCCTCTAGTTTTTGCCCTTTAACCAAGGCTGCCTCCAGCTTACTAACAGCTGTGGCCTCACTCATTTGCAAAGCCACGATGTGTTGATGGAGTTTTGCTACAAGTGCTTTTTCATCAGATTGAGCCTACGGAATACAAAAAATGCATACTACTTTTAAATTACTTAACACAAAACAAAACAAATACAATTTGGGAAAGTTCTTCAAGAATTTCCTTTTCTACCTGATAATCCAGCACCTGCCTCCTAAGGGCTTCCACTTCCTTCTCTCTTGACTGCTGACGAGCTTCCAAAGCAGATACCTGCATTTTGGCTACTTCCGAGATGTCTCTTAACCTGTTAATTTAGAAGAATAGAATTGATGAGAAATTGTCTGGTTTCAGTTGTTCAGTAGTAGGGCTTAATATAAATTAACAAAGATGCACTTTTGTGATCCAAGAAGACAAAATGTGACAGATCCACATCACAGACATACTTTGAAACTTCCATTTTCAGCTCTGCTTCAATTTTCTCCAGCTCCATGATCCGTCGCCTGTCGGCATCACTGACAGCCTTGCTCACACTGTTGGACAGTTCATCCCTTAATTCCTGTTCTATCTTTTGAGCTTCCAAATTCTGTTTAGTCAGCTGGTAAACAAAAATTAGAAAACTTTTTTGTGTGACAAAATCATAAGAATTAAGTATAAGTTTTAAAACCAAACAGTTTTATATTTTGTCTGGGGTTGTTTTCTTGAAATAATGTTTTGTCAACATGCACATACTATTATAGTAATACAGGTTATAATACATATTACTGTATTTTATACTAACTTCTAAATACAGGACTTAGCATCATAAATAACATGGCATTAGCATCAATAACATGTTCGTTTGATCTAGGATATCAAACTTGCAAACTTCCATCTCTCAGTGAAGCTTTCAGAAACCTGTACAAACAAAAATTTCAGTGAAGAAAAATGTCCCCTAGCTAAATCTAAAACCTTATGGTTTTATAGTATTTATAGCATTATTGAAATGTTTACAGCGTTAACTACTTTTGCTACAGTCCAGTGCAATTTATATGATGCATGCATACTGTAGATGGACAGTATTTCTCTCAAACATCAAGGTAATTAAAAGAATTAAGCTGGATACTTAATTTTTTGTCCTTTTGTTTCTTTGGATCAATATTTTATTAAGAGAAAAATCTGTAAAACACTGCTGCAAAACATACCTCTGCAAATTTAGTTTCCAACTCAAAGTTTCGGTCTTCAACTCGTTTAAAAGAAGTCCTTAAGTGTTCATACATTTTATGAGCATGCTCTGCTCTTTGTCGTTCATTTAGTTCTTTCATCTCCAACATTGTTATTTTTTTGGATATAGACAGTATTTCACTGTTCGTGATTGCTTTAGTTGCCTTATCCATGGTGCCTTCCCCACCTGTTGCAATAATTCAACACTTCTGTTATCAGGCTAATGCTTGAAGTACACCTGTACAATACTTTTTACAATTTACACGCATTTCACAACATTTAGATTAGAACATTAGATGATTTTCTTTCCAAGAAAGAAGGATTTAAATATTATCAACATATCAGATATCTCATGTTTTTCTGTGCTTTTTTACATTCTGAAACTTGGTTTTGGATCATTTATAAGTACAACTCCATTTAATAATGTAAAATACTGCACCTTAAAATCAGATAACACTTTGAAAAAATAAAAACATTATTATAATAAATGTACCAATTCTTGTTACCTTCCACAGATGAAATACTTATCCTTACATACATAATAAAAATTAGAAATGTTCAAATGAAGACATATCCATTTATCAGAAATATAAAAAGCTTTACACTAACCTAATTTAGTGACCTGTTCCCAGGCTTGCTCCAGTGTATGAAGTTTTTCCTTGGTAATCTCCAGTTCTCTGTTTAACCCATCAATTTTTTCAAGAAGTGACAAATTCTCACCCTGAAACACATACAGTATATACAGTACATTACTATTATCAAAATTACATTGCTTTTTCTTCCAAGGCTTGTGTATACTGAGCATGAAAAGCAGCTTAACATTTATAAATTCACAAATGTTGGAATCGAACACTTGCACAACCATACGTTTCACCTGTAACCTCACAAAAATATTTACCTCTAAATGTTCCAAATTGGTTGTTTTCCAAACAAGCTGGTTATCCCTCTGCAGAGTGTCTCTGTATTTAATTGTCAATTCATTGTATTGCTTATTTGCCCTCTCAAGTTCTGAAGAGGAAACACTGTTATCCAAGGCTTTTTGCAAGGCTGCTATTTTGAAAGCAGCCATGTCCTGCAGGTGGTGCAAAAAGATAAGTTTATATTATCTTTAATAACTACATTTCAGCATTAAGTATTTGACAGACAAGCACTTACCTTATATCGCTGTAGGTACCCTATTCTGTCTGCTACTGCACTGTTCATTTCTAGAATTTCATTCTTCAGTCTGTTGTTCTCCTTCCTCAGATGTTGCTCCATTTCTAGCAAGGTTGTGTACCGTCTTGTCAAGGACTTTTCATTCACCCGCAACACAGTGATTTTTCGAGCTGCTTCTGAGATCTGTTTCTTTGTATCTGATGGGTCCATCTCCAGCACTTCAAGCCAGTGCTGCAACACCAAATCACAGTAATAATTACCTTTACTTCTGTTTAATGTGTGGTACCAAACAGTTTGTATAAGGTTGCTTAAATGTGTTTAAAGAACATCTGGACATACTTTTTAAAAGATTTCAATGACATTCCAGTACCAACTTCTTTTTAATCAAATATTCAGTAGAAAGACAAAATAACAACATAATATTTTTCCAGACCAACCGAATCTTTGTTGCCTTCTTTAACAATTACACTTACGGTACGAACAACAATGAGTTCTCAAAGAAAACCCTTCAACAAGAGTGACATACAGAACATGAGTGTACAATGTGGCCAATAAACAAAAGTAATGAAAATTTCTATTACATTGTACTCCTTTATTTTCACAGCATCTAATTCCTTTTGCTCTTCGAGTCTATTCTTCAATTCTGTGAACTTTTCTTTTTCATTCAGCCAAGATTCTCTTTCACTAAAAAAACACAAGATGGAACAATTACCAAATTATCTATTCTACCAGTCAAAAGTTATTTTTCATTAATGCTACTGATGCGGAGTACCTTTGATATTCTTTGTATAGAAGTCCTTGCTGATGACGAACCACAGCAAATTTACGTTTATATTCCTCTAAAGCTTCTTCCAGCACCTTTTCAGTTGCCTCTTTATTTTTAAGTTCCTTAAAGAACAACATAATCATGCATCAGTTCAGATACATTAGGTGAAATACAAGAAAAGGGTGATTATATGTTTTCTTAACAGTAATTTATTTTATGTAGGTGATTACTTTATAAACTCTATGAAATGTACAGAGCCCCAAAAATTTAATCATGAAATATGAACAAGACATTATATAGGAAGGACAGGTGTTGTTTAAAAAATAAAAAAATAGATGCTGTAATTACAATAGCACTGTACAGAGCAAAGTTATTAATGTAAATAATTTAATTCTAGAGAACAAAAATGTCATATGTATGCGCTCTTCTATGTAGTGTTTGAAATATCAACATATTTGTTTGAACATCTCAATCTCTTGACCTCTATCCCTTGATTATTTGAGATTATTTGAGATTCTAACTCACAAAAGCAGTTCCTAAAAGGAAACCAAAGGGTCCGAAGAACCTAGAGCAATTCCAATAATCCTTCATCAGAAGTGTCAGAACCCTATAAGTGCACTGCAGGGGCATCTGGTGAGTCTAAATAATACCAGAGAATGATGTACAAAATACTAACTTCCAGAATATAAAAAATATGTTTCCCCTGTGTTTCTTAGGCCTAAATTAATTATAATAACAAAAAATAATAATTTTTATGACAGGAATAATGTCTTATGGTCCTATTTCATTAGGGAATACATCTGGGAGGTACTCTTTATATACAAATAAAACTACAATAAAAGCTGGTGATTATATATATATTGTTTTAGAGAAAGCCTTTTTTTACAAAGTGTATTCATAAAAATACTGGTACTAGCACAGTGTAAGATGATGCTTACTTGTAGAAGGCTAACTGCATATTCATTAAGAGCACTGATGACCTCCATACTAGACAAGGCCATTTCTTCTGGCAGATTTAAAGTCTTGAAAACAACACTGCTCCCTCTTGACTGTTTCAAGGCCTCTATTTCACATTCCAAGTGCTCAACCTTTAAGAAAGGAAACATATATTATAATATATTGTTGAAACAGGATTGTGTTTACTTAGGGACACAGATGCTCTCCAATTACATGATACATATATACTGTATTGTATATACAGTACCTATAAAAATTTTACACAACCTTTGCAAAGTAATACATTTTTTGCCTAACAGCCTGAAATAAAAATGCATTAAATCAGAATTTATTTTACCTTTATTTCAACATGAAAACACTCAACATCCAACTGAAAAACAAATGTTCAAACGTTCTGAAAAATAATTACAAATGGAAGCCTAGAAAAATGGGTTGGATAAAGGTATACATCCGAGTACTTGGTAGAAGTACTTTTTTTGTGAATTTTGTGAAACAATTATTTTTTAATTCATCTTGATTTTAGGATGTTGGATCACAAAATGTCTTGCTTTGGAAATGGTATGTAGATTTTCTATAGGTATTATATATAGGCAATATATTAGAGATTATATTATGGCAATCAATAAGAAAAAAGAAAAATATTTTTTTCTAGGTCTATCGAGCACAAATTCAAGCTTGTCAGGTGGTATTTAGGTCATAAAATACAAATGCAGGATACAGATGTCTACAGTTGCACAGGTCTTCAAATAGAGTACCAGAAGAACTGTATGGTGTAAGCAATTCCAATCAAAGTGAAGAATCACCTTTTCATTGGCTTTGATTAGCTGGCTTGAAGCATTAGCTGCCTCTTTACGAGCCTCTTTCATTTCCTTTCTTAGCTCTTCATTCTTCCCAGTGAGCTGGTCAACTTGAGTCTTTAAGTGCACACAAGCATCAAAACCTCCTGGTGAATTTCTCACCTCAATTATCTGAAAAAAGAGATCCAGAGAAAGCTTGTATGCAAAACTTCAACATAAAAATAAAAATATTGAGTTAGTAATTAAAAATTACATTAATAAGTTCATAGGTTACACTAATAATAAGATGTAAAGTCCATATTTTACAATACACATTCACTAAGAGACTGAGTATAAAATAAAGTCAAATGTAGCATACATCAAAAGACAATTAAGTATTAAAAGAAAAAAAAAGCTTCAGTTTTGAAAGAAAACATTTGAATCTCTCTGATATTTCCTTAAAAACATACATTGATGAGTCTTTCAAGACTAGAGATATGTAGGACTACATCTCCTTGTGACTTCTCTCGGGCATCTTTTATTACTTGCAGTATTTCTTTCATTCCTTCCTCAAGATATTTCTTCTCTTTTAGCAACTCATCAACTGTTAAAGAAAACAAATCAAAACATGTCAAACTTCAAAATCATTGATAAACACTAAAAGACAGTACAACAATATTTTTAAATGCGTGTACTCCTTAGATTTAATTACTATATAAAAACACATTTATATAATTACCACTTACATTTAGCTTTAAACTCAGCTGAGTCTTTCATTCGGAGTTGAAGTTCTTTATCTTTGTCATTCAATTCTTTTAAAAGGTGTTCATTCTGTAAAAAAAACATTTAAATGCAATCAGGAGCTATAAAGTTTTTCTAATTTGTCAGATTTAATTGCAGTTACAAAGTAAATAACACAGCTTCGAAGTATTAAAAACACTATATGATAAAAAATACCATGCATTTAAGGTAAGAGATGAGTTCCCTTACAAACACCAGAGCAAAATATTTTGTTCACAAAGTTAAACAATTAAGATTTTATCTCTTTGTTGTATATGAAGCATTATGTACAGTTCCAAGACCCCGGAACTATACTTACAACAGCGGTTGATAAAGAAATTAGAAAACTGAAATATTTTTCACAACATTTACAGGTCTGCAAGCTAAGAAAAAAGACAATTCTAACGTGGCTACAGTTTCTTCTTCCAAGTTAAATTATAACTAAACCAGGCTAGGACTTAGCAAATCAGATACTGTACCGTATATCACCAAATCTTATTTTTGATTTCTGAATGTTTGTTACCTCCTGAAACAAGTCCTTCATTGAACAGACATATCACCTTACCTTGTCTCTCATCTCTTCCTGATTTATGGAACTAGATGTAAACTTTGCCTTTTCAAAACTTATGGAAGTTCTACTGAAATCATCTTCAAGCTGTAAATAGTCTCCACTGAGCCCTAAAAGGGTGGAAACATAATTGTATTTAAATGAAAGTGTAAGTGTAAGTGTAAATTAAATTTATCCATTGACATTATTTTGGCCCACAGCGTGATCTCGGGCAAAATCACATCTCTTACCTTTAAAGTTTATCCACTGTATTTGATATACGTAACCCTACCTTTGTCTTTTACAAGTTTTCTTATGTGCCTCTTCAGGTTAAGTCTTTCTTCTTCTAGCCTTTCAATCTGTGAGAACGAAGTCAGACACACCCATTTTATTATGCTTATCCTTATTATTATTATCCATCCACCCATTCTCTAACTGCTTTATCCAATACTGGGTTGCGGGGAAAGTCAGAGCCTATAAAGGACACACACACGATACACCCAGGAGGGGACGTCTGTCCATTGCAGGACACACACAGATACAAACTAGCACAAATCAATTAAACTACCGGTATGTCTTTGGATAGTGGGAGGAAACTGGAGCATCAGGAAGAAAACTCACTCAAACATGGGGCGAACATACAAACACACCAATAGCACCCCAGGTTCGGAACTGAACTCAGCAAGGCAGCTATGCTAACCACTCTGTCCTATTATTATTGTTTGTAAAAACCAATTCTGGTGAGAGATATTTCTGTAGGGCTGGATATTAATAATGGATTCTATCATTATGCAATATTGTGTAAAATATATATCTCCTCTGATGAAAGTACTAAATTTATAAAATTCCAAAACATTTAAGGCAAGACAAGACCCTTTTCCCTTCCAAATACCCAAGCAAAATTACCTCCTTGTGAAGAATCTGATTTTCTGCTCTATATTGTTGCTGTTTTAAAGTTTTTGTTCTTCTAAATTCAGACAAATCAACAACCTCTTTTGGATTAAGTCCTGAAAAACAAAACAAAAAGAAAGCCCAATATAAGTATAAACTATGGCAAGGTCTCCTGTTTTTCAGATTCAGTTTTTTACTTAATTATTAGGCTCAGATACTGAAGTTCATATTAACATACCCAAACGTTCTCTGAAGTCTTCATTTTCATCCAGCAGGTCATTAATCTTCATTTCTTGCTTGTTGATTTCTCGTGTCAGATATTCCATTTCCTGCTCTCTTGTCTTTATCTGTTTTTTGTATTCTTTGATTTCTGCAACAGCATTTTCCAGCCCATACACACCCTGTAATTAAGAACACAAAATCTTTAAGAGAGCTAAAGCATTAACTGTTTTAAGATATGAACAATACTTACGTTCGGCTGAAATGGAAACAAAATAGGGACAACAAAACTTATATATAGACAAAACTTTATAAGGAACAGAAAAAAACAACATTTTTTTAAGGAGATTGACACTTCTATACTTACAGCCTCATAAGCCGTCATTCGAGAGAGAGCATCACTAAGTTCTTTGTCCTTTTCTTTGGCATCAGACTCTGCAAGCTCTGCTACCCTTTCAGCATCCCGAACCCTCTGCTCTGCCACCTGAAGTTTTGCTTGAAGTTCTTCAGTTTTCTTCTGTTGTATTACTGTAGGAAGTCCTGTTAATGTGACGAAGCAATAATTAAAAACACAGAACTGAAATTAAATGGTGTCGTGATAAGATTGAATAATGCGCTTAGGTCTCGGTAAAATATCGTGTGGAATTTTGCTCACCACTTTACAGAAGGTATTTTTAAAACTGAGAACAGGAGACATTTCTTTACTTAGAAGGTTGTGGAATTTTAGAAGTCGTGTCACTGAAGCAAATACCCTGACTTCTTTCAAGAAATGGTCTTAATAAGATCCTTGTATCAATTGGCTACTATCAAACAGGCTAGATTGGCTAAATGGCCCGTTCTTATTTGTGACTTTCTTATGTTCTAATGTCCTTAAAGGAACAAATGAATCCACAAATACCTCTGGTTTTCTGAAGAGGTTTCTTGAGTTCTTCAATAACAATTGCATTTGTTTCCATTTCACTTGTGTATTGCTCAACTTGTTCAGTCAGCATCTTGATCTGACTATCCCTTTCTTGCACGGCCTGGGAAATGTAAGCAAAATGTAATTTGTTTTACAATTATGCATCCAAGAAAAGAAGCAAAGCATATGGCAGCAACAAGGTATAAGGTCAGAATTCATACTTGTGAGTCCCCATGTGAATTCCAGCTAACTACATAAGGCATACACTTTCATCTTAAACAGAAATTAAATCCTTTCACCATGGTATGTTTTCTTGCAGTTGTTTAAGAAATCAATTTCAGATTCACAGATGCTCTGTTTCCATAGCTAGACTAGACACACAAAAAGAGAAAAATAAAATTATGAAGGACATGCATATTGCATGATAAGTGAAGAAGAAAAACTAGAAAAAGTAGGAAAGGAGAAAATACTTACAGCACAGAGTTCATAAATGACCTAGACAGTAATCATGAAAGAGAAAGGAAAGAATGAAAATACAAAGGTAGGAGAAAAAAAATGAATACAGAATTTCTTTTACAGGACAGATAAAAACAAAACTGGGCTGCACAGATGACATGCATACAAACATTCTACAACTATCAACACTTGCACTTCCTGGTCATTCACTTCAACTTTTCCAACCTGCATGACACAGATGAAGAGGATGCACTGTTTTATTTTATACATGTTGTTCTTTTAACAAGCTGTGAGCTCTGCACTGGCTACAAGATATGATGAATCTCACTGCAATAAGCACAGGTATTTAGACAAATGCAGGGATGCTGTTGCATAGCCAGCTGAGCACACTCTCAGCTGGCTATGTCAGCTCAAACCCACCCATTTCTGGTAGTACGTGGTAGTACAGGATATTGAAGACTATAGTTGTCTACGAAATTAGTCAAGGTTTATAACTCACCAGTAATCTTGATTACAAAGCACCAATTTGCACCTTGAGTCAATGAAATTAGTAGCTGAGCAATAACTCCATCAGTGTATTTTTTTATAGTGTAAGGTACAAAGTACATCTTACATGTACTGTAGAGGTCACATGTATTAATCATAAGCAACATAAGAAATGTGTTATAAACTATCAATCTAAATCCAAAATTGTTTGATTTTACCACTCATTTGTTAAAGCGCAACAGTCCAAAGCCAGTAGCAAAAGGCCAAGAGCTGCAGGGATATGGTTCTAGAAAGAGACTTTGAATGAATTGCTATGTACTGTACCACCATTCTTGTATGGTGATATACTTGTTGGGCAGCAAGCAAAGGTAGACAGTTGGCCTGATATAACAGAAATGCAGTAGTGTGTTTGTCTTCATCTCCATTTCAACAAGGAGGTTACAGCAAGACCTGTATTGTATCTCTTAAAAGCAGACTTTTATGGGGGTTTCAAATCCTAGCTGCTATAGGTTGCACTCTAAAGCATCTTAATATTTAATGTATCCAGGTAAGGTTAACTGTACTAATTAAAGTAGTTTCTTCAGGTCCTTGAAATGCTGATCATTTAAAGAGTTGGTCTCTTAAGACTTCCTGACTGTTGCTATTGAACAGTAGAGAAGGAGATCACAGGTCTATTAATTATTTACTCAGAGGACAAATTTAAATAACTGAACAAAATAACACATATTCAACTACAAGAACTTCCACTTCAAGTTACCTGCTGGAGAGCCATGACGTTATTTTTGTCAGAATCCAGCTGTGTCACTCTAAGTTTCTCTTTGAGCTCCCTCAGCATCTGCTGATATTCCATTATCTCATCATCCTTTGCAGAGAGAATTCTCTGTAAAATAATTAAGATTTGCAATATGTAAAAGGAAAAGATAAGTCATTTCTGAGAAACAAAATCAACCTTTTTATCTAAAGATGTTTTCACCTTCATTACAAACCTTCCTTAAATTACATCCAATTATCTATACAAACTTTTACAACCAATACTTGCATTTTTGCCTAAACAAATCACTGAATAAAACATATTACTGTTTTAAATTGATAATAACATGCACAATTATCCATAAACTGATTTGTGTCAAGACACAATTAACTTTTATAGCTCTTGTACCTCTTTCTGTATTGAGCTCTGCCAATTTAATGGCATACAAAACCCATTGAAGCTCTGCCTTTATCTCCATTTATGCTTAGCAATTAAACTTAATTAATTTGCTGTCTTAATACACACAAAAAGAACTACTACTTTTTCATTAATAATTTTATACTGCAGTTGTTTATAGGTACTTGTGATTGTAAATATTTTCAAATATTTAAACCTACCTTCCATTCCTCGACCTTTAAATTCACGGCTGCCATCACTGGATCATCCTCCTCTGCCTTGGCCTGAATCTGTGCTGTGAGCTCCTGTACCTTAGGAAAGAAAAAAGTACAAAGTAAAAATTTAAACCATTTCCGCATGTTAGCAGGCCAAAAAATTAAAATCTTTTGCATTTTACAAACAAAAAACATATTTTAAACATTCAATATAATAAATAATATAAAATATGATAAATTAGTAATTATAGGACAAGGAATGTATTATAATTCCTGTGACAGTATGAACTATACATACAGAATTATAATTACTATTTCAATTTCTATGAATTGTCTTCGAAAGTATTATAAAAATGCTTATAAAGTATTCAGGTAATATTAATCTTTGAGACTGGCAGAGGCAGTAGCAGTCATAGCAATAATAATAATACAAAACAAGGGTCTTTGCCTTAAGCAGCAGAAATGAAAAGGGAGTTACTTACTTGAAGCTTCAAGTGTTCACTCTCTTTCTTCATTTGGTCCATGAGAATGTCTGACTGCTTCACTGTTATTTTCATTCTGCTGTAATCCTCTTCCATTACCATCATTTCCTTTGTCGCATCTAATAGAGCCTTCTGGGCATTGTCATTCTGTGCTTTGAGTTCGTCCCTCTCTGCTTCAACACGCTAAATGCACAAAGTAGGCCGCAACACTTAGAATCCATTTTTCTCAACTTTTGTATGTGTGCAGACAATTGAGAGTAAGATGAGTTTGCAGTGACTTGGATATACTGTACATAGAATCCTCTTCATATCGTAAAAACACATTTTGGGTCCCATTAGCAAAGCAAACAATTAAAACAATAACACATTACAAAACTTAAATAAAACTGAATGCCTACACTGATGGAAGATAGTCATCTTATATATTTCAAAAGAAAATTGAAACACTCCACAAAGTTTTATACATACCTGCAGCTCATCCAGACACTCATGCAACTCACGGTTCACAATTGCTAAGTTCGCTTGGGCTTCTTTTTCCTTTTCTGTGTATTGAACCGTCTCTTTTTGGTCTAACTCACGTCTGTAATATATGATGTCTTGGCGTAATTGTTCATTCTGCAAAATTAAAGGATTTTTTTTGTAAATGGTATCCATTTGCAAGAAAAAAGAGCCCCACATGCCGACTCAAATACGCTTACTTCAACATACGTTAGAACTGAAGTTAAAAGGAAACTATCGTAACAGACTTTTAAGCTTCTGCATGTGATGTAGACACTGCATGACACTCAACATACTCCTTACCTTCTTTTTAAGATGTTTTATCTTGAAAAGGCATAAAGAAAAAAGAGAAATGAAATGATGAAAACAGGAAAAAAAAATCATGCAAAGGTTGACTGCATTTCCCATATGATGGAAAATAGTAAAGATGTAAGCAGATGGAAAGGAAAAATGAACAATGAAGAGAGGATACATAAAGGTCAATATGTAATGAGTGCATTAAAAATGCAACAAGTGCATAATGGAACAAACAGGCCAAAACCTTGTAGCTTAACATCCCTCTGTATATTCTAACTACATAAACCTGTTTACAATAAGAGACAGCTTGACATTTTATCATCATGATTATATACAGGGACAAAAAAAGAAATTTCTATGAATTCTTATTCATCCCAGGAAAAACAACAGCATTAGAATTAATTAATTTGAACAAAATTATGTATGAATTGCATTAAAACACATAAAAGAAAGCTAATGATTATAAAGTTCTGCATATTTCATTTTAAAATTTATTGACAATGATCATAAAGCTATCATTTTGTAATGTAAAATGAACACATCATCTAATCAATTACTGGACAATTAATTGATGGTCTTTTTTAATTTACAACAGAAGGCACAAGAGGAAAGAAAAGCTACAACTATCTCCAAATGTGGAACAAACAAGCAATATTTCTAATATTTATAAAATACCGAACAAGAAACTACTGAGCTATTCATCAAAATAGAGTAGAATGTATATTCATCCATCTTCTAACAGTTTTTTTTCCTATTCAGGGTCGCGAGGGAGCTAGAGACTATCTTGGCAAATAATGAGCCAATGGAGGGTATACCCTGAACGGGATGTCAGTCCATCATCAAACATACACACACACCACGGATTGATTTTCTCAGAAGCCAATTTACCTACCTGTATGTTTTTCGACTGTGGGAAGAGACCGGATACTCAGAGGAAACCCATGCAAACCCAGGGGGAACATACAAAGTCCTCGCAGAAGTTACCCCAGGTCCAGAACTGAACTGAGGGACCAGTGCTACTATGCAACAATGCTAATTCCTGCACCATCACGCTTTCCATATTACATATTAAGTTCAGTATGAAGAACTTTTACAATTGCATGTTAGCCAGTCTTATAAGGCTTCTTGGACAAATGTTTGTTTTATATTCCAGGAAAATAATGCTCAAAGCATTTTGTGAAAAAACCACAAATATTATGCCAAAAAGGAAGATAACGTTATGGATTGATAGTGGACTGGTGATCTCTGAATGACTTAAAGACAGCAAAAAACTAAAGTTCTAAGAAACTAAGAGTCTACTGCAGAACTCAAAGCCGTATGGCTGAAATAATGGGGGAAGAAATAAGTGGAAGAATGCCAAGAACTCCGCTCAGTCCAAAGTACATACGTGTGCTACTTAGACATAGATTCCAACTCTATATAAAATGAACACAAGAATATAAGCACAGAACCTAAGTTATTTGGCTTCTATCCACTTTGATATATAAATTCATTTATAAAGCTAGACAGTTTTAATGAAGCAATGAGTGAAGTACCTTGCACAAGGGTACACCTGGGACTTTAAGCCAAAACCTAACAGCTACAGGTCCAGAGCCCTAAAGCTACACTGTACTATTGTGAGACACAAAAAACACATTAGGAGCCAAGCATTATAAACCCAGAAAATAAACTGTGAGAATTACAACTCTGAAGAATTTAAAAATTTTGGAAGCTGACCAAAATAAACACTAACCTCTCTTTTCAGTTTTCTGTTTTCATTTTCTGCATCTTCTGCTCGAAGAGTTAACTACAGACACAAAAACAAAACAGTACAGACAAAAAGCATATATACATAATATAAAAGATTAAAATTTTACCTGTCAGAATGACTCTTCATTTAAACTATAGTAGCCTATTACAGGAGATCAATGCATTAACAGAAATCTAAATCAATCGGCATTGTCTCTGACTCAAAATGAGTAACACTCTCAGCTGCAGAACAAAACATTAGTATCCAGATCATTCACTTATTTCCCTCTGACCTGTGAATTGTCTGAAGAACCAAATTGATACCGATATGAACTGGCTACCAAGCTTACACTTCATTATATGCAATAACGATTGGCATTTACATTTCAAAAATCCAAGTCTATTAACTTGTTTTTAACAAACGGTATACAGGCAGAAATCTCCCATTAATAACTTTTGCAGTATGTCAAAATAAAGTATCTCACGTAAAGATTAATTCCACTCTGTAAAGTAAAAAGGAGAACCACCTGGTGTGACACCTGATGAATGTGTGACACACACATGTGTTGGTTGCCTTTCTGAACTTTATTTTCATTTTCACAAAATGTCCATAACACTTAAATAAGAAAAAAGAAGGTAAATATCTAAGGCACAGAGATATGGGGATGGGTATCATTTTACTCATGTTAGACTTCAGCATACTTAAACTTGTAAAATGAGTACAAAGCTTGTCAAATCATACTTCTTCATTTGCCTTCTTCTCCTTGTTGATTTCTTTTTCCACCTGGGCCAATTCCTTCTCCTTGCGGTCCAGCTGATTCTCCAGCTGGCGAATTTCATCTCGAAGAAAGCGGGTATCTCGTCCGCCGGCAGTACGTTGAGCCATCTGGTAATTCAAGAAACAAAAAACAAAAGTGTAGTCTTAAGTTTTCACATAAAAAAATGATTGTCGATTTCTCATTTACTATAAAAACTCTCTCAAAACATAAAAAATATTGCTCCAAACATACTTATATATTTAACTGTGTTAGGAACAAGGGTATTGTACATCTCTCTGGTAGAAAGAAACAACAACCAGGGTGAATGAAGAGGAATTAGTGCTCTAATCTTCTTATAGTCTTCTTTCTATGGCAACAGATCATGCTTATCCCTGGATAGCCGAACCACAGTGATAAGAATCAATACAGTGGTGTCTACAACTTCTCTCTGTCGGGCTGCATTTTATAAAACCTTACTATTTTCAGTCAGCAAATACAGTACACAAACTGTCTTTCAGTTCTGTGCAGCTTCATACTCATTCACATATAAACCAATCAAGAACTGAAAAGAAAGAAAGACAACAGAACTTTACTTTGCTAATGTGTTCTGCACTTCTGATAAAACTGAATCCTACCTCTAACTCATGTTCCAACTTGTAAACTTTAGCTTTTAACTGGTTTTCTGAAAAAGAAAAGGCAATAGGTTAATACGTTCAATGCACAACTAAAAATGTGATTACACCTTTATGTAAATTCAGACATAGGCAATCTATCAAGTCATTATTCATTATTTCATGGATTGTAATGTACTGTGCACATTGTGTGAAAGTCCTGTCTATTGTACTGTACACATCCTGAGAGAACATCGCGAATATGAATCCCAATGTACATGTACAGAAAAACTCCTCCTATTCACGTACCAATTTTAGCTTGTTCTTCACCAGCCTTTTCTACTTCTTCTAATGCCAGATCCACTTCTTGAGCTTTCATCTTAAAAAGAAGACGAAAGTATACATTTTCTTGTAAGACACTGATCTTAAGCCTTTCTTTTTTAAAAAAACATAAATTTTCAAGCAGTTTTGGGGGAATTGTAAGTGGCTATAATACTTTCACATGTCATTTCTTTTATGCATTTATACATCGTAGCAATCAACCATTGCTTGCACTTTGTAAATAACGTAATTACTGGATTATAAATGTTCAATACCATTCATCCACCCATTTTCTACTTCTTTGTCCAATGAAGGGTTGAGGGGGTGCTGGAGCCTATCCCAGCAAGCAAAGGGCGCAAGGCAGGACATTAATCCATCACAGGGCACATGCAAACACGAACACAGAACAAGGACACACTTACACCAGGGACAACTTTCCCAGAAGTCAATTAACCTACCACTATTTGGACTGGAGGAAATCCACACAAACACAGGGAGAACATACAAACTCCACACAGACAGCACCCCAGGAATTGAACCCAGGTCTCCAGCGCTGTGTCGCAGTGATGCTGACCACTGTGCCACTCTGCTACTAGTTCAATACTCACTAAGGTAAAATTAATTCTATAAAACCATAATACTAATTTAACCAGACAATTCTCACAATTACACAGGATATATAAAGCAAGGTAAGACATCAGTGTAGAAGCATGAACTTTGAGTGTAGTATTCTGCATTCATACATTTATTCTTACCTTGATCAAGCTTGATCTAGGGGAACTGGTATATATTAATGTGTGATCGAGATAGAATAAGATTCAGATAAGGAATAAACAAGTCAGCTAATTAAGACAATGCATTGTACATTGTATAAAGTTTTTAAGTACATAATATTACCAGTTATTGATTTATAAGCCTGCATCAGAACTGCTCAATCACATCTCCAACTGTGCTTGTAGAAAATATATTTTGTAGCTCAGACTGAAAGGGCTTTAAAATTAAATTGGCAATGCAGGCATTATAAAAGTGTTTCGGAGCATATGATTATCACATGATAATGACATGATTCTGAACTGAGTTCGTTAAACATTTATGTTTAATTTTTTTGTACAAAATGGTCCCTAGAGAATACAGAAATACAGTCAAACCTTCATTATGGCCTGAGTGATTCTAAAAAGATGAATGATCTTCTCCGGGCTATCACCTTTCAGATCCCTCTTTTCAACCTAGTAAGAAGATTACTTAAAGTTAATTCAGTCAGCAGAGTTATACTTAAATTACAGGAAGAAAATGAAGTGTGATCTTCTGAAATAAGCTTTTAAGATTTTCCTTCCATTATTTTGAGAAAGCTAGAATGCACCTTGTAATAAAAATACATTTTTAATAGACAATATCTATATAATACATGTTTAGCCTGGTACTTGTCAGTACTTGGATGGGAGACCTCCTGGGAAAAACTAAGGTTGCTGCTGGAAGAGGTGTTAGTGGGGCCAACAGGGGGCGCTCACCCTGTGGTCCATGTGGGTCCTAATGCCCCAGTATAGTGATGGGGACACTATACTGTGAACTGGTGCC